AACCACGAAAACTTCCTACAGTTGGCTTAACGACAAAAGGACTCTGATCCACTGCCTACCACTGAAGATATTTTACGCCAACAGTGTGGTCGGTGCGGAATTCGTATCGACTAGCCATTACTGAGGTTCGAACCCGGTTCACCTTATTGGAAGGCGAACGCTCTGTTCCCTGAACCCCCACGGCTCAAACTACTTTATTTAAAAAAATATATAATATTCCGAGTTGAATTCAAAATTACAAGGCTATGAAATTGAACATTGTTTGTCATAAACTCAGCATTTGGGTCGGCTGTTCAACGACGATTATAAAATAAAATATGAGGAGGTGGCACAGGGGATACAGTGTTTGCCTCTCAATTAGGTCTAAATCCTAGACCTAGGTCTGAATCCCAGTGGTGGCAGAATGATATTAATTCTGTTCCCAGCTCGCACCGACCACTTCAAATATTCTCAGTGGAATCCCCTTACCGTCTAACTCACTGTGGGAGGTATTCGTGGTATCCCTTCCATTGTAATGCAAATGCGGGTTAGTTAAATAAAACGTTCTTTACAAAGGCTAGTCTGTCCCACTGCTTGATCCAGGAGTCCCCTTGTCTTCTGAGTTGGATTTAAATTACAAACCTACAGAGTTGAGCATAGATAGTCGTAAACTCATAATTGGTTGGGCTGTTTACCGCCGTTTATAAAATATAATTAGAGGGATAAGCGAGTCGCTGATGTTCAACTGCGGGAATAAATAAAATATAAAACAAGAGGAAGGAAATTTTTTCATCCATTTTTTTTTAAAATTAATAATCTAACCGAAATTAATAATCTGTCGAAATGTTCCAATAACTTTGAAGCAACCATTGATGTTTTAAGGAATAAATCCTCCACAGTAATGTTGAGATAGTCCAGAATGTTTTGATGATGACCTGAATATTTACTTTGACCATTTTAATTTGATTATTTCATGAAGATAACAGAAATATTAAAAAAATTAATTTGATCTAAATATTAATACAGGTTTTAAACATCATTACTGTGATATAAAAAAAAGTCTAACTCTCGGGACCCCTTTTACCCTTCCACGGAAACCGTGGGTATGATTTTGCGGAACACCCAACGATCTTTGCTAAATGCTTTAGAAATTAACTTTCCGATTTATTTACTACAGACGCCAGAGGAAAAATACAAATAAAAGTAAAGGATAAGTTAGACCGGTTTGCGACTTCTTAATCCAGTGGCTTTTAACGACCCCGATCTTCTGTTTGGCATTTTCTTAAATAAATAAATGAAAGAAAACTGATGTTTACCTTCTTTTTTTTAATTTAGGTAACAAATTTTAAAAGAAATGATTGCGTTATAATTGTGACCAACCCTTTTCCGTTGTACGGATATAACGCGTATGCAATATATATATATACAATGTTATGCCTTTAAACGCTAGATAATTGCAGGGCTAAAGAGAATAAAAGCGCTGGTTCACTCCTTCTTTTGAAGTATCTCTCGCCGCGCCGATCCTCCGACGTCACTCTAGTGACGTCACTTTGGCGCAAAGCTCGCACTTTTACTTCAAGAACGGAGCGTTTGGCCTTACTAGCTCTAACTAATATTGGATCATTTCTTTTTGCGAGATATTCTAAGACATTTGTTATTTTCTATAATGACTTTCCTCAGTTTTTGCAGTGAATTTACAAGAATTTAAAACTATTATCGAAATGCCAGTTTGCGCGATTGCAACTTGCAAAAATTCTGATATAAAAACAAAAGGAAAAAGTATAATTTTTCGCGTGTTCCCTAAAGTAAATGAACAACTATGTAAAGAATGGATTCCGAAATGACACAGTTAATATAAAACAGCAATACGTTTATTCTGTCGTAAAGAACTTTTATAAAAATTCATTATCTAAATAGAAACCGCCTCGTTACTTCATAAAGAAAGGCAGGTGAAAAGAATTAAAAAATAGATAAAGTCAAAGAAAATTAAAATGTAAGTAAAAAGTATAAATAAAATATATAGTATATAGTTGAAATTCTCCTAATTTCATAACATATTTTTTAATGTAGTTATTCTAAATATTTATGATTTTTTTTAAAAATTATATTCTCTTCAATTTAAATATCTATAAATTATATCATCGTAAATTTAAATGTCTATAAACAATTGTAAAATTTCTAATGTCATTATGAACCTAAATTATTATTTTGTTTCAGTAATTAGCGTTTAAGGTTGATGTTTCCTAATGATTAAGTATGAACAAATTGCTATTAACGACATATTTTAAAATCAGGGATTCTAAATTTAACTTAACTTATCTTTATAAAAGAATATGTAGATAAAAAAAGTGTCGATATATGCCTTCATTTTTCTTAATAGTTAAAGTTAAAACTGAACTTTTTAAAATAAAGTATTTATCGTGTCATTTTCACCAACTAGCAAAACATTTTTATAAGTTTAAAATGGTATTTTTTTTAATATAATAACCAAGAAAGTTTTTTTTATAACTATGTCTATGAACGGAAATAATGTGTTAATTACGTAAAGTTTGAAGGCTAATAACCAGAAAAAGTCTAACTTATTTTTACAAAGAGAAAGATGCAAAGTTATCATATATTTGCTTGCGATCTCCGAGATCTGTGGACACAGTGACGTCATGACAAGGGAAATCGTAGCTTCAGCTCTAAGAACGGAGTGAACTAGCCCTTCTATTCTCTTTAGCTCTGAGATAATTGAAGCTTTTAAAGTGAGGTTCTGAAAGGGAGTGATTGCAAGGATCTTCTTATCTTCCTGAAACGTCATTCAATTGATAAAATTTAGAGATTTTGATTCGCTAAAAGGATAGCGCCACTCTGACGGTGGGAAAATTTTGGGACTACCTTAATGCCTCTTTATCTACGAATTATTGTCCATTAACTTTAGAAAATAATCTTTTATCTGGCCTTATCTGGTTCATCTTGACTTTTTATGGCTCCTTGGGAGAGACCGACTTCTACATCTTAAACTTGATAGGAAACATATGTTTTAAGCTTATCAGTTAATACAGAAAGACTCGCATGAGAAATTCTATATTACATACATATATATATATATATATATATATACCAACCCCGTTAACGTGAATTCGAAAGGTGACAGAAAATTTGTTTATGTTTATCAGCTCAGAATTTTTTTTGATGAAAGTCGTACAATACACAGACATTTTCTATTATCTATGTTACATGCAAATTAATTAGTTCTATAAATCTCATTATGAATTAAGTTATAAAGGAAGAAAAAAATATTATTGTCCAGACGAAATGCAAAAAGTGTACTTACGGCGTGTTTTTTTCCTTTTCTTTTTTTTTAAAGTCAGCAGAAGCAAAAAGAAAAGAAAAAAAAATAACTAACAGGAGTACTTATTTATTGTAAAAAATTAATGAAAAAAAGAACGGACAGTTTTAATTGCTACTTAAGCATCCATTAGAGGAAAGTAAACCTAAGTATTAGATTTAAGAAAAATTTTAGCTCCCTGCGTGTCTACCTATAAAAATGCAATTCAGGAATATTAATTTCTTAGAACAACCTATAAGGGTGTGGGAGAAATGACTACCTATATTGAAAAAAGGATCATCATGGGCGGTTAAGTCATTTCTTGGGAAAACAGGCTTCTTTACAGTCACACCCATAAGACAAAAGAAAACTCTATTCATATCACAGGACTTGTTTCCTGTAATGCCTCCTTCAACAAATTTGATTCATACAACTCTTGCATTTGACTACTGTGTCGCAATTATCATTAATATATCAAAGCATTGAAAAACTACTTTAATTTATAGAACTGTGAATGATCAGTTTTCTTACCTGTTAAAGAAATAAATTTTTCGCTCGCATTAAAAGTAAAATTTTTTCAAGGTAATGAAGTTAGAGTTAACCTTAAAAAATATTTCATGTCAAAAGTACTTTAAAGTATAAAATTTTTTGAATCAAAAATTAGTTCACATTAAGGGTCATGAATGTCAATTATATGGGTGGGTATAGAAAAAAGAAAATTCGGGCGTAGAAAAAATTACCTGTGATAGAACATATTTTTTGATTGGCAGCTAGCCAAATTTAATTTAGAGATATCGCATTGGATGGCAGTATGCACTAAAAACAGCTTTTATTTTTTTTAAAAATTTGATACAAATGTTAAAATTTATATTTGGAAACAACTAATCTTTCTCTTATTTTATGAATTTTTTGCTACTTCTGACATTAAATAAAGCACAGCTAATAAAATGAAAATCATGTGAGAGAAAATTTTCTATAACAATGGAAAAATAGTTATTATTATTATAAGGGAAAAAAACATTTAAAATTGCAATAACTTTTACATCAAACTCCTAGTACGTATTTCTACACATCTTTGTAATTTCAAGTTTCTAAGTCATTTTTTGAGCAGCAAAAGAAAATTCAAGATAAAAAAAATAGCAAAAAGGTTTTTAAAATTCTAATAACTTTTGAAACAGTTAGAATTTTTAAATAAAATCTGCGCTAAGCTTGTAAACAAATATAGTTCTTTCAGCATACTGAATTTCAACTCTGTAGTTGCAGAGTGGCCCATATGGAATTTTTACTATAAATTTAATAGTTAATAATTCTCAAACTAATTATGGAATGTTAATTATTTTTCTATAAAATTTTTACTCCTGTATACTTTTCAATACACTTTAGCAATTTTAAGTTTAGTCTTATAGTTTTGCACAAAAAAACAAATTGTAGTGTTAAGTTGAACCCCTAAACCCTTTACAATTTTTAATAAAGAGAGAAAAGTACACAGAAAATCATTATTATTATGCTCTCAAATGTCAATTAAACACACAGTTAATGTTTAAAAACAAAATCTGATCTGCAACTTGTTATAGAATTGCAAGTATCTGTTTATGTAATATAGTGACAGGAATGTGACAAGTGTGACACTTTGTGACAAGGAAAAATAAGCGTGACATTATTTATGGACCGTTTCATGCTACGCAATAATGATTTATCAAACAAAAACTAGGCAATAAATATATTTATTTGTGTTTTCTACAACTGAAAAAAAAGCAAGACGTTGGACTAAAGAGTTATGTGTCAGTTATAAACAAGAATAAATATTATACAAATTTACAAACACCCCAAAAAATTACTGCCTTTTTTTCACAACTTTGTTACGGGCAGGAGGTCGCTTTCCACCTGTAAATAAGGATGTCATCATCTCAGATAATTCTGGAACATCATATTTTGGCATTTGCATCTGTTGCATTTCCTGAAAAGAAAAACAATTTCAGTAAATGTTTAATATATGCATAGATTTTTTAAATCATTAACCTAATGTGTATATGAGGTAACTCATCAGTATTTGATTTTAAGCACTAACTTTAATGTGAATTCATTAATACACTCATTTTAACAGTTTTCTCTAGTATCTTAATTACAATCTGGGACAGTAATATATTCATTTGACTTCTCTAAATAGAAAAATTTCAAAAACAAAAATATAAACTATGGAAAATCCCCAATCCAATTTATTTCTATAACAAATTAGTGTTTTTTTTTAAGATGCTTTACACTATTCTAGGGAATTTTTTTGGTGTGAAATAACAATTATAGTTGGAAATATATAGATATTTCATATTGTCTAAACTTAAACACACCATTATAAGAGCTGCAAAAGTCAGCAATTGTAATAAATCTCCTGCAGCACATTACATATATGTAAATTAAGGGAGCCCACGCTTTTTGAATGAAGATCCATTTGTACTTTAGGTAGACCAATGAAAGGTCACATGTCCAAGTATTTACGCAGGTTGTTAATGACAATTACGATACTTTTTATCAATTTCCTAGGAACTAAAATCCTTGAATCAGACATCTTAGTAATATATAAATATTTAAAAATATCATAAGTAATTCACAACTGAGAAAAGTAAAACAATATTCCTTTTATAAAAAATTGAATTTAACATTCATAAATATACATTGAAAAAAGTAATGGTATCTCATCACATTACAAAACACAAAATTTTCTTTTGAAATAAATTCTAACAATAAAAAATTAATGTTCATTGAATAAAGAAAAGAAACTATTTTATCAAGCAATATACAAGCAAATTTAATACTTTTATAAGAAACTTTATAGGATAATCAATGATTCAAAATAAAATAATAACCCTTTTAACACAAAATCAGATTCAACTTTCAGTTAGGAACACACTTCAACTATAGGACACTTATATATTTAGTGAGTTATAAGACGCTTCAAAAAAGTTAGATATCAAGCAATTTTAATATTTTTTTTTCTTAAAAAAGTAAATTTTTAAGCTACAAAAAATTATAAACAAGATCTTAAACAGAAAACAGTTAAATATACACATGTTCCTTTGCATTTCAAATTTGCCCTGTGATAAAATCTAGTTTCATTAAAATAGCTATTGAAATATCAGAATTTCAAATATCACGAGAAGTGTAAGAAAATATCACAGATAAAACTTGACAGAAAAGATTAGTATTTAAATGCATGATTTGCAAGAGTGTTATAATGAATGGTATCACAAGAAAAGTTTTTTTTTTTTAAACTGTGTGAAAATCATTTAGTGAAGTCTGCCAAAAAAGCCACATAGTTTTATGATGACATCTGAACAACTTGTGTCAAAAAGTGATAATTNTGATTAACAGATCATAGTGTTAGAATGAATGGTATCACAAGAAAAGTTTTTTTTTTTAAACTGTGTGAAAATCATTTAGTGAAGTCTGCCAAAAAAGCCACACAGTTTTATGATGAAATCTGAACAACTTGTGTCAAAAAGTGATAATTCAAATTCAAAAATTTGTTTTCTTCCATACAGTAATAATTTTTGTTTTGTTTTTTGCATTATGTTCAAATGATGCCAGCAGACACACATTGACAGAGGGAGGGTAGTTCCCCCCAACGATAAATATTTACTTTTCTTGAAGCATGAAACAAATAAATCTAATTGAAACTTACTCTTTGCGTTTCAGGATCAGCAGCATTCATCATTTTGGGTAAAATCATAATGAGGATTAATGGGAGAACCATCATCAACACCTAAAATTTAAAGTAAATAAACTTCTCAATCCACAAGATGAAATACATTTAAGAAATCTTCATTTCTTGACTTAAGGCTCAAAAGTTTTCAAAACTGTGACATAAAACGGCATTTAGAACAAATGTTAGCAATTGCCCTTAATCACTCTGAAGAATTGCTTTCCATAGCAATAACAGGGAACTATTAAATCAAGAGTTAATCGAGATTTTTTTAAATAAAATTTCAAAACATTTATTGAAACTTATAATTTTAAGAAATTAGTGTCCTGTTTTGACAATTTCATGAAAAATCACACACAAAAAAATCACCTGTTCAGTCTTTGTGATATAGGCATATAGGTACTGCTTTATAGAAGAAAATATTTTAAAATTGGAACAGAATAATAAGTTTTTGTTACCAGAGTCATTTTTGTGAAAAACACAATAAAAACTAGCCACTCAAAGGGTTAAGAAAAACAAAATAACTTTATTGTTTCTTTTTATACCTATATATACACATACAGTATACTCATGATATCTCAAACTTCTGTGTCTCGAAAACCTTGTTATGTCAAAAAAATAAATATATATTTTCTCTTGGATTTATCTATACACCAAATGTTAATTTGAATTCCTATGTCAGAGAGTTTCTTCTCAAAACCTTGTTGTATCGAATATTTTTCGAAATAGGAAATTAACTATTTTCTGAGTTTTGTCTTACTTTTGAAAATGAAATTATTAAATTTCAATATAAAAATCTCTGTAAGTAGTATAAAAACCATTAAAATAAAATTAAATGATTCAAATAAGTTATCTTCTATTGTAATCCGCTTTTTCTAAATGATTACAATCACAACAGTAAAAAAAAATTTTGGCAAAAAATAAAAGATTTAAAAAAAAAAGATCAGTTTTATTTTAAATGAAACATATTTTTTTAAAAGATAGTCGGAATCTAAAATAACCTCAAATGTTCCTTTCGGTTTATCTTTATACTACTGCTCTAGCTTAAGTTACCGACGCCCGGTGGAACAGTGGTAGCGCTCCCATGCCACAGGTCTAGTAGCCCTCCCATGCCACAGGTTCTGGGTTTGAACCTCGGGCCGGGCAAGGTTGGCCCATCCTTTCATCCCTTCAGTGGGTCGATAAATGAGTACCAAGCATGCTTGTAAACACTGGGGGTTCCGCGTTCAGCTGACCACCTAACCGGAACATCTGCTCCTGCACCTCAGAGCCAAAGGTCAAGAAAACTGAGATTGGCTCAGTAGGTCTTGGCCGTCTATGGGCTGTCGCGCCACTTAGTTTAGTTTAGCTTAAGTTACCAAAAATTAATCTAAACCTATTCTTGCATCTTTTCATCCAAGATAATAAAACATCTATAATTTTCTTTCTCTCTCCCACTTGCTCATTTACTCCTCCTCAACTAAAAAATGACTCTTAATTTGAATTCGCATTTTAGAAAATATTTCCAATTTATAGTAAATTTGCATTTTGACTTGAAATCTTCTACTGAAAAAAAAAATTATCACAAAAATTTGCTAAGATTTGCCTTTGGTCTAGACTTTTAAAATTTGGCTAATAATTTAAAGTCCTTAGCAAAGGCATTGTATATATAATTTAAAATTAATGATATCAGCATTTTTGTTTTCCAGATGAAGTATTTTGTGAAAGGTTCAATTTCAAAACGAAAAATATTTCATGAAGGGTCCATTAAGTTAAAATAATCTGTGAAAGGTCTCAATTTCATGTTAAAAGAATAATCTCGATAAATAATTAATATGAAGAGTATAAAAGGTCTATTTTCACAATTTTAAATTCTCTGCTTATAGATCATAATTTTCCTAAATAGATCCCTGAAAATGTATGATATATGATTGAGCAAGTGAATAAAGTTTTCAGAATGCTTTTTTAAGTAATTTCATAGAGGAAAATAGAAAAATCCTAGATCGAAAGCAGATAAAGCTAACTTGCATTTTTCTTTCAACATAATCTAGGATTTCTCAGCATGATCTTGGTGCTTTGAAATTTTGGGAAAATTATTTTTGTCAAAAGTTGAAACTAAATCCTAATACTTATAAAATACATATTTTTGCGAGAAAAAAGAAACATTTAAATGCTAAAAAACAAAATATATAATAATCTCACCATAGGGTTCATTAAGAAATCCGTTATTCTCCAAGCTTCTCTGACTTGAAAATATTTATAAGGAGCTTTAACCTTGAATTTTAATGGGTAAGAAACTTGTTGCACCAAATTAGTTTGCACATAGTTGAGCCTCCTAGCACGAAACTTTCCTTTTGAATTGATGTCTACTCTCACTGGATCATAAATATGATTTGGATTAATTACTTCAACTACATATGAGCCTGGTTCCATGTTACTAATATGAAAACTACCATCATTTCTAAAAAGGAATAAAAAAATTAAACATTTTAAATTAAACATTAATAAAAAATTGAAAAGATGAAACAATCAATATTTTATTGAGAGTGTGTAGCAAAGTTTTTCTTCCAAAAAATAAACAATTTAATAAATAAATCATAATTAGGATCTGCAGACTGATAAACATTTTTTCTTCCTAGTTTTGAAAGCTCTTATACATATATAAAATGAACAAAATGCAAAAACATTTTCCAAAACTTTTTAGAATCATGATAAAATCACTAGTTTCCATCAAAGAACTCTTTTCTCTTGATTTCATCCCCCAACATAGAAATAATTTATGTACATGTACACATTTAAATGTATTCAGTACAGAGTCGCTCATTCTATTTTTTTAAAATTAATAATTATTTCATATAATTATGTAAAATTAATAATTTTAATTCAAAATTACAACTATTTGATTACTTTAATTTAAGAAAAGTTATTGGGAGCATATTTTAGGTTTAGCAAATAAAAAAATATTTATAAATGTAAATTCAACAAACAATATTTATAAAATTAGTTTCATTGATCATACTGAGATGTTAAAGATGTTAGCAAAATAAAGAAAACCTTGATGTTATATTACAAAATAGATAAATGGCAGCCCATTAAATTTTTATTAACATTTGTTATTTCAAATGATTAACAGATCATAAAATGTTTAAAAAATGTTTTAATTTTGAAAAAAAGAAAAAAAAAAGAATACAATGAGTATCAAAACTGCATTTTTGTCAAAAATAAAATGAAAAATAAATTTTTCTTTTTATGGTCCCTATATTATATTTAACAGCTGCGTTCCATCATATTTAACTGAGATAATTAAACTTTTAGTCAAATGAAAAAGCTATAAATTATATTATTTTGAAATGGTAAATCTGAATCTCTTTATAAATCTGACTTTAACTGCATTCATACTTTTTTAAATTCTTGCCTTTAAAAGTTATTGAGAATTTTTATAAAATAACTAAAGAGTGCAGAAAATTTTAATAACAGATCTAACTAAATGATATTACAATAAAAAGCCTAAATATTTCATATATTTATTGAGGACACACAGGAACATTATTCTTAATCAAATGACAGAGACGAAAATTTAAAATTGATGAAGTTCTGTCATTGTTGACTGCTATGGACTCACATAAAAATACTCTATTGGTGAATGATCTCAATTTAAGTTCAAGGATCGTGGTACATACTAATATATAAATAGAACAGTGCAAGAACATCATCATATCTGTTATGAACTGCATACCTGCCAACATTGAAGAAATAAAACAACAGAGATTTTAGTAGCGACATTTTTAAGGCTACCAGTAAAGTTTTGATACATCAGGCATCCCTGTGGCAGAATTTTTTTTGACTTTCTGCGACAAACCTAACTAGAACCAATATCTTTCTGCAAGATATTTTTATCGTTATAAATGCATGTGTAATGAATTTATAATAATAGATGAAATTCGTGTTTATAAAATAAGTCTACATGCATAGAATAAAACTGCGTAGATTTTTTTTTCTTAATTTCATAATATAAGTTTTCATTTCTTAATAAGTTTAAATTGTTTAAGTATAAATTTGCATAATCTTCGATAATAACGAAAAGTTATAAATGTATAGATCTGCAGACAAAAATGCTTACTAGAGCATAAATAAAGATTACCCAGAACCTGTAATAAGATAGAACTTATAGAAATAGCTAAGAATGGACAAAAAGATTAAATTTATAAAACAAGATAACTGAATTTGAAGTATCAGTTTAAAACAGTATGATTTAATGTTTCACTATAGTAGTTATATCAGGTACAGAAACAAATCAGGTGAAAAAATTAATATTGAAGTTGAGTAATCAAAATAATAAAATAGTATTGACTATAACCGAATTCTAAAAGCAAAAAAATTAAAGCAATGTTTGTTTCAATTTTTTCTACATCTAATTAATTTTATCTAATTAATTAGATGCGATTAATATTGTACTGACTTATTGAAAGATTTTTTTTTTAAAAAAAGGAGGTAAATAAAACTTTTTTCGTGATCAGATTAAGTTCAGAACGAAAAAAATACACAGCGCTTGTGATTTCGCACTGTATTGTGTAAATATATAGCATTGATTCCACACGAAGTATGCAGAAGCGGTTTCCGACTCAATATGCTCAAGTCTATTCAACATCTCGAAACGAAATAGTCTTTATCAGTACTGAAACATCGGTATTAGAGCCATACTCATTGGATGCGATTTTTTTCGCATGCGTATGGAAACCTGGTTGAAACTGTTTCACCAGTAAATATTTTCCACCAATCTGGTTTTCATTCGCATGCCAAAAAATCGTAGATAGTGAGATATCTTTCTCCTTCCGCGGTACGTTAGAAAAAAAATATTTAAAACAATTCTGTAAGAAAATTTTTTTGCAGAACCATTATTGCTTCTGCAGAAATTTTTTGTTTCTGTAGAAAATTTTTTTTTTTTTTTTTTGGTAAAACAGCTTCTGTTTCTGCAGAATTTTTTTGAGAACTTTTGTTTGTGGCAAACCAAAAATTTTTATTTCCCAAATAAAAAAAATCTTTCTGCAAGAACTCAGTTGCTTTCTGCGACAATGTCGCCGTGTTTCTGCCACGGGGTCAGGCATAATCATGTAAGTCAAAAAGAGAAAATCAAAATTGGAAATAATATAAGCACTTACATTTAGCGAAGTAAAAAATATTTATGGAAATCTTAATCTAAAGAAGATTTTTTGTAAACCATTATTTATAATTTACTTAAACCAGGGTTGGCAGGTTTTTGACATGTGACAGTTTTTGACAGTTTAAACCATGGTTTAAACCGTCACGTCAAAAACCTCACTGTCAAAAATGTCAAAAATGTCAAAAACNCAACCCTGACTTAAACTATAAACTCTCATCATACTGCACTACTGGCAATAACACCATGTTGAGGAATAAGAGAAGTATTTTTGCCATCCACTGATTTTTTATTTATTTCTTTAACAAATACAGAAGAATTAGAGAATATACAGGTAAACAGGAGGTAGTGGTAAAATACAGGGGTCTTCGTTAAAAAAAAAAACAGGAGTGTTGGCAGGTATGGAAGTGTTACCAGTGAAGAAATTAACAAGAAAGAAAAAGAAAGTTTTCTCTTGCTATTGGGAAAAAGATCAGTAAAATTTTAAGAAATATTCTTCGATTTCAAAGATTGGGAGCATGTACAATGATTGGTGACTTTCTTACAAAAGGAATGATGATAAACAAAAATGGATTGTTCAAACTATGTTTTTGCATAATTCATGACAATTGGATATGGTAAAAAAAAATCTTATTTTGAAAAAAGCGAAAATTAAGCATGTTCTGTAAATATCCATTAAAAAAAGCATCCTTAAGGGATTTTAAAAAACAAATATATCAAAATTAAGCACTTAATTTATTTGATCACAATACCAATTTCATATGAACTAGAGTTGAGGATGTTATGTAAATTAAACTAGCTTAAATAATCTAGTAATAATAAAAAAGCTGAAAAGATTTTTGTATTAGTATTTACACTGATTGTTGCCATGTTATAATAACAACCTGGTTGTATACAGAACCAACTTTAAAAAGAAAAACTCAAAGAATGAAGCAAACTTAAAGGCAAATAACTCTAAGCAAATACATAGTTTGGTAATAGTTTCGTAACACAACTTTTTATAATAACTACTTTTGTCTTTTGTTAATGCACCAAATGGTTTATTAACTTACAAAATTGAAAAGAAAAAAAAATGTTTAATGGTTTGCAGAGGAGTGCCCATATATCTTCTTTGAGTTAATTTTCTTTTGTGATGTTCAGTTAATGTCTCATGCAATCAAAATTCAATGACATTTTTGGTACAGGTACCATTGCACAGATACAGAATTCTTTCCCAAAATTTTTAAATTTATTTCCAGTCAAAAAACTAGGCAGAAAGAGCACTGGACAATTTTAGGAGCAAAAAACAAGTATTGTCATAGAAATACTCTGGAAAGCACAATATCTGCAGTATTTCACATTATTTCATTCATTTTTAAATTGAAGAAATTTATCTGTACTAACATAAAGAGGTGGTTAAGTAAAAAGCAGCAGGGCTAACACTCAAAATTTTAAATAAATTGATCTAGTGCACTCATTATTTTTTTAGTAATATTTCCATTCCTGTTTGCACCATCTAAAATAGCCAAGACGTCAAACGGATAGCAAACTTGTAAAAATTAAAAAAAAAAAAATAGGAAAAGGCTTATTTGTTATATTTATAAGAGTTATATTTCTCCTCTGTGATGTTTTTCTTTCTTTAGTTTTTTGCCGGCCACTTGCCGTGAGTAGCTAAAACTTCGCGATTATTAGGTACAGGTACAGAAAGAAAAAATGTAGCGAAATTTTAAGTAACTTAAGAACTGCTCCAAACAAAATTAAATTGCTCTAAACCATGTATCATCACTTTTCAGTAGAGTTATCCAGAATAAATAAATTATCTCCATAATTATTTTAGAATAATAATAAATTTAAAAAAATTCACCTTAAGAAACCAAGCCTTTCTCCACCGTTGACTAACACTTTAGTTGATAATAGCCATTCAGGGGAAATAACATCAGGCGCAATAACACTTCCATCTATTACATATTTATCAAAGGAATCTGCTTCAGATTTCATAATTAATACTACATATATAACAAAGCAAAAGATTAAATTTTTGGAATGAGACATAATTAAGGTGTGAAAATAAATGAATACAGGAAAACTTTAGTTCAATGCAGAATTCAGGAAAAATCAGATATGTACTTTAACTCCTTTTTCTACTAATTAGACATGTAATCTACATGACATAAATTTTATTTCTAAATTTTTCTATATAAATAGGAATTTTATGGCGTATGTATATTTGCAAGTTGTAATCAATTTTTAGCGTTTCTGGCTGCTCACTTTTGTTACTGTCACATTTTAATTTCGCTTTTCTCAATTTCTTTTTTTCAGTAAAAACTTTTAAAGTTTGCTTATAGCTTTTACAGATTATTTTAAAAATTGTTGATCATTTACGTCGCACTAGAGCTGCACAATGGGCGACGGTCTGGGAAACATCCCTGAGGATGATCCGAAGACATGCCATCATAATTTTGATCCTCTGCAGAGGGGACGACCTGCACGCGGCACTTTACGGTAGAACAGTTTAACGAGGACCCATACCGCACACCCTCGGTCCCTACGCAGACTGTCCCGCAGTGGACTGATCGTTAAGACACGGTTCCCATCAGATCACCGAAGTCAAGCATCACTGGCTGCGGTCAGTGTGCGGGTGGGTGACCACTTGGAATAGTCTGCGTAGGGACCAAGGGTGTGCGGTATTGGTCCTCGTTAAACTGCGTTATCGTAAAGTGTTCACCTTCACGTGCAGGTCGTCGGGCTACCGAAGCGGGGGTGCCATTCCCTCTGCTGAGGATCAAAATTCTGATGGCATGTCTTCGGATCATCCTCAGGGATATTTCCCAGACCGTCGCCAATAGCCCATTGTGCAGCTCTAGTGCGACGTAAATGAGCAACAACAACAACCTACGCAGACTGATCCAAGTGGTCACCCACCCACACACTGACCGTAGCCAGTGATGCTTGACTTCGGTGATCTGCTGGGAACCGTGTCTTAACGATCAGTCCACTGCGGGACATTTTAAAAATTGATATTTAGTAATCGTATCCTTGGTGCTTATGAGATGTTTATCTATGTATCATAACTACGGCAAGACCAAGTGTTGCCAATCTCTTGGCGACCTATCTAAGAAGATCGCCAAGGGGTTGAAGAAAAAAGGGAAACCCGATCATGACATCAGGACCGAGAGAGGTAGTAGTAGTTAATTTACGTTGCACAATAGGCTATTGGCGCCGGTCTGGGAAACATCCCTGAGGATGACCCGAAGACAAGTCATCACAATTTTGATCCTCTGCAGAGGGGATGGCACCCCTGCTTCGGTAGCCCAACGACCTGCACGCGAAGTCGAGCACTTTACGGCAGAACAGTTTATCGAGGACCAATACCGTACACCCTCGGGCCCTACGCAGACTGACCCAAGTGGTCACCCACCCGCAGCCAGTGATGCTTGACTTCGGTGATCAGCTGGGAACCGTGTCTTAACGATCAGTCCACTGCGGGACACGACGGGGAGAGGAAGGATGGGGAAAAGAAAAGGCGAGGAGGGGACCAAAAAAAAAAAAAAACGGTGTTACCGGGAACGGGGAGAAAATTTAAGTAACAGGTACAGAAGATAGGGGAAAAAATCGCATGCAAAATGTAATCATAGTACAAGAGTGAAAAATCAGGGTTTTAAAGAAACAAAAATGGCGAAATAGAAAATCAAAGCACTTACATAAATAGACTCTTACTTACGGAAACCCTATTCAAGTATGATAATCCATTTTAAAAATTTTAAGTTTCAACTGTTAATTCGAAATGGAAAGTTTGGCAAACTTAATAATTCTATATTTACTTACTTACTTATCCTCTACGTGCCTTTGGGCACTTAAGGCCTCTAGCATATCCCTCCAACTACTCCTTTCTCTAGCCATATATCTTGCTTCCTCCCAGCCAGATATTCTACATTCTTTTAATTCGCCCAAAAACATGCGCTTGACGGTAAGTCTGGGTCTTTCACTTGTTCTTTTACCATCAGGGGCCCATGTAAGCGCAACAGATGTAATTTTATCCTTGAGCATTCTACGGATATGTCCGAGCCAGGTCTATCTTCGTTTTTTAATTTCATCTTCTATTGTTTTTATTTTAGCTTTCTTTAATAGATTTTGATTNTTTCTTCCGGTTTAAGGACGCTTGTTATTGTTTACATTAGACCACCCATCCATAGATTTTGATTGATACTTTGTAAGGCCAGAAAATTTTAAAAATAAATCTTAAACATTTGTTTTGAAAGGTTTCTAATTTTTACATTTCGATCTTAGTCTGTTTCCAGGTTTCTGCGCCATATAATAGTACTGCTCTAACAATAGCTTTGTAATTCTATATTTACAGCATATTATATGTTATAAGGCAACACTCTTAATATATAAAACTATTTTAAATTAATAATTGAATTAAACTAGTTAAACTTCATTTTATGCATATGGATTTAAAAAAAATAATAATAATAATTATTATTAAAACTAAATACATAATGCTTTTTCTTCCAATATTTAAACATTATAATACTCTATACAATTTTGATCTCATTTAAACAAATTAATAGCAAAGTAAATGGTGTTTTTTTTAACGTAAATTTCAAGCAAAATCATGCTAATTTTAGATTTTAATTTACTTGTTTTAAAGAAACAATAATTCGTAAAAGTAAAGATACATTACGTCTAAATTATAAGCAATAAAAATTTTAAAATATCGGGTAAGGAACTTACTTCATTTACGAAACATTGAGTCGAAAGAGAAGGGAAAAAATCAGTAATTATTTAATTGCAAATCTTAAATTAACAAAAAATGAGGTTGAAATTAAAGAAAAAGATAATTATATTTATTACGAAATAAACATATTTAATAAATTATTTATTCAAATAAAAACTCTTTTAAAAAAAACATTTGCGCGCCTTTCAATCGAACCAATCATTGGCTAAAGCATCAAGTGATCTTTTTCTTAAAAATTCATGATCAGAGGAAAACTGGCTCCCTCCGCCAAAAACGTTATCTCCCTTCCTCGGCGAGTAAATGGAACTTGTCGCCAACTTGCCGTAGCTATTTTTTAAGAAATGAACCAATTTAATGAATCTGCCCAATTTTATTAACTCTAGTCATCACTCATTTTACTCTAGCCATTTGTAATTTCCCATTAATCATACATTATTCATATTCTGATATTATATAATAAAAACTACATTGTATAATTATAAAATTATATTTACTATTGAATGGAAATTTTAACTTAAAAAAAAACTTTTTTTTCTCCTTAAAATTCTATAACAAAATTGTTGAATTTTTATATTGTCATTTTTTGCAATAATTAACACAATGTAGAACATAACTTAAAAATATTCAAATTACTTACTTCAACAAACATTTTCTCCCAGTTCTTTTTTCACTGAAATTAAATGGAAAAATATCTACCCTACGAAACTTTATTTCTTTAATATCTGAAATTTTATTTAACAAAACACCTGAAATAAAACCCAAACGCAACTTTGAAATTTTTCCAGGGAGTAAAACCAGGAAAGCATCTAAAATTATGAAAATTGTCAATAGTTTTTTAAATAGAAAATTTATTTTCTATCATGACATTAGAAATTTTCAACAATTCGATAATTATTTAAAGGTGTTATGTTCTAAACCAACTATTTTAGCCAAAAAATTATTTAACATTTTAATTTCAATGCCAAAAAAATTAGTAAATATTATGTTTTATCTGAATTAAATTTGCACAAACATATAATTGCCTACGAGAATCAGATGAAAAAATATGAAATTTTTTACATTATCTTTTAAAAGCTGCCTTTATTATGAATGAACAAAATTTGACTACAATCAACTACTCTTTTGAGAACATTGTTATAACAAATAGATTTTTGTTTAAAACAATTCCATTGCTTGTATTTCGCTGATTATAGATTATAATGACATAAAGAGGTTTAAAAAAAAATATGCTCTGTTTAAAATGTTACATGCAAACATTTTAAACAGAGCTTTTAAAGTAAAGAAAATTTAAAAAATTAAGCAGAGGCTGGAGACAAGTTTCTGGTATTAATGTATTAGCTATATAAAAATACTAAATTATTCATTTAAAAAACCTGTTTTCACAAAGAATATACAGGATCTTACAGATGAAAATTTAAACAAGATTCTTCTCTACATTGATTCAAAATTTTTGTTTTTATAATAATGTAAATGTTCTTCCGCTAAATTTTAAATATTAAAAAACAAAGAAATTTGTACTATTATCATTATTTTACAATTAGATTATTTTAAACATGATAAAAATATATATACTTCTTACAAATTACAACCGAATAATTTAAAATTTAAGTTATAAATATAATGCTAGTAGTATAACTCATAAGGTACAGTTAATGCATCACAATGTTAAAATAAAATTGCTTCCAATATCTTGAAAATTTAAAAATAACAAAATTATAAATACATCTAACTGTTTTCATAACGCGTAAATATGTATTACTATAAAATTTTTTTTCCAACATTATATATTATTAAGTTTTATTTATGAGCATATTATGTCTGCCAAACCCCCATTTTCTAAAATTCTGAAGATTTATTATGAAGTTGCAGAATAAATTACCCATTGCAGTAGTTAAGAATCCCCCCTCCCCCCAAAAAAAGACAATCATACAACTTCAATATTTTATTTTAATACAAAACACAATATAAAAATAAACTTCACTTAATTATAAAAGTAATATATTCTTACCGTCGTTACTTAATATAAACATACCGATAAGCTTTTGGCAAAATACAAGTTAAGAACGCATATTTGTCATTAAATACAATAACTTTTATTTTTATTCCAAAAAGCAACAGTTGGACTATGTGCTATAATTTTATTTAATCATTTATCTTTCTTGCCATCAACGTGTCAAAATACACAAATGACGCTTTACTCAAAAAGGTTGAGCACACATTACCAACTAGGTACTCACAAAAATGAAAATAAGATCATAGCTGGAACAACAGCAAAGTTTTTCTAACCTAAAATTAACGCATAGTAATGTTATTTATTTTTCACTCTCTGAAAAATTAAGTTACTACAATCAATCATCAATCACTTTGATAATATTATACATAAAATCAAATAGCTAAAAACATTATAATTAAGGAAATTAATAAAATATAATTTATTTTTCATATCTGAAGAATCAAGTTAGTATAATCAAGTAATTAACAAATATGTTGATAGAATATGGGAAACAAACTTTTGAACTTTAATGTTACGGTTAATGTGCAGATTTCATAGGTAAAGAAAGACTAGATTTTGCCCTTTAACAGATTATTTTACTTAAACTGAAGGTTAGCTATGTAATTTGCATATTAATATGTCAATATACAAAATGATTTATTTTAAGCTTTAAAGGTAATGTAAATATTGAGCCAGAAATATCACGAATTACCGATTAAGAACTTCCTCAAATTTTAATGTAAATGTCCGAGATGCATGATGATGGGAATAAGCAATGCAAAAGCTGGAAAGAGAGAGAGAGAAAAAATCGATCATATATTTGATTTACCATAGATAACTAATTTTAACTACATAAATAAGAATTTATAAAAGCTTTTCATTGTTATCCCAGTCGTTGTGCATAAAAAATTAACAGTGGTGAACAGAATTAAAATCCAACAACAGCAATGTAACTTTTTTAAATGTAACAAGCAACAACTCATTGTGAATAAACTTTCATGAAGTAGTTTCCGAAACTAAATACATATATCAGCTGCAATCAAACGTTGATCGTTGAGCATGCACTTTCCTATTATGCTCAATACTTCTGATCATTGCGTAAAAATATTTGAGCACAATAAATGTTCTCCCAATATACGTATGCCTAGCTTCTGATAATAACACCTCTTTCCGTTTAATAACAATGCCTTGAATTTATTTCATCAAATCTTACTAATACTTAAAACACATCTTCATAATATTCTGCATCTTAGTGTCGATTCCTTTTGGGCTGATAATAAAAAATTATTTCACTTATTTATTTTTTAATCTTAAAGAGAATCATATTTTTGTATTTATATACCATAGTTCTGTTCTCAGATTTAAGAAGCACGGGGTTTTATTTTTTGATCAAATTGTTTGAAAAATAATTACTCAGCAAATGAAAAATCAGAAGAATGTTTCCTTGCCCATGCCGGGTAGACCTATAAAATTCGGTAACATATCAAAGAAAAACTATTATAACATATATTGAAATTAAACATCCAAACTGATTTAAAGTACAACATTTACTCAGCTACGATAGTTAAAATACTCAACCTTATATATTAAACTTTTCATAATGATGAGTAATTTTATGTGGCATAAAGTACAATACTAAATCATGCCATAATGCGAACTACCAGGATACTATACTGAGAAAATGATTAATAATACACGCAACAAAACTGAGATCAATCAGCCTGATGAATGGAAGCTGATCATATTTCATCATGATTTCATAATGCTGCATAATCAGCATGTGACATAAAATACAATATTAAATCACACATTAATGAACATACAACAAGAGTGCTATTTATTTCGTTAAAATATTTTATTACACAACAAAAATTAGGATTTCAGCATTAGGAACATGATTGCTAAAAATGTTAAACATCTTTATTTTTTCATAAAATACAAAAATAATTCTCTCCACATGAACATGATTGCAAAGAAAAATTTAAAGAATGGCTTAAGCAAATTTTTTGACAAATTTTCTAAAATTAATTTTTTTAACCATTATGCTATAATGCAAAGAAGGAGGATTTATTTAATATTGCTATAATGCAATATTAAATAAATTGCATTTTCTTTTAACCATATACAAAAACGTACAATATTTTGTATGTTCATACAATATTTTGTAACTTATACATACATAAACAACTCAAAATGAGAAAAATATTTCATGAATATCCATGAACTAAAAACGATACATGAAAATTATTTGCATATTTCATTATTTAACATAATAAATTAGTAAAATATAGTTTTTAGAAAAAAAACCTTAATAATAGTTTACTAATTTTGATATTTTAATAGTTTGAGTCATCTTTTGCGGTCTTTTTCAAATGTTTGATAAATTACGCAATCCAAGACATTCAAATGTGATTAACAAAATTTATAACAAGTAATTATTTAAAAAATTGCCATAATATACCTTACAGTAATATTTTGGTAACATAAATATAAGATTTATAAAATGCTGAAAGCTTAGAAAAAGTTTAGATTTAAATACAAGAAATTGATTTTATGAAGCAATTCATACTACCTTATCTGCTTCACACTTTCAATTCAACCAAATTTACTTCAAAATTAAGAAAACTTACTTTTCTCTAATTATAACATAAATATTTTGTAATTAAAAGAAATGAAAATATTTGTACAGCATGTGCCAAAAAAAAAATCATTAAATAAAAGATGTTACATGCAATTTTAGTTAAAAGCTGCAACTGAAGTTTCTTTTTAATTAAAAAATATTACCTACACTTCAGGATTCTAATGCTGAGAGAATCGAAAACAATTTATATTTTGTTTAAGCATAACTGGTTGTAAATAAAGTAATGTTATCCAGTAACCAAGGTTACAACTTCTACTAAAATGTGTTTATAAGAATGTATTTTAATCCACAACTTTTCAATAGTAGAGCTTATTTTACAGGCATTAGATATGCATAAAAACAGAAAAATAAATTGAAAACTGTATTCTAAGATATTTTGAAAGAAAAAAACTTTCCAGCTTCATTAAATTGTGTTTAGTCTAATGACACTTCTGTGAAATTTTTTACCCATAATGGAAGCAAGAAGAAAGTTTATCCTCAGAGGGTACTGGTCTGTGTTTAGTCAGTCTATTTTTACATATACTGCAAAAATAAATGCAGAATGCGATTAGAAAAATTCTTTTGACCTGTGTAACAAGAATTAGGTTTCTTAGCATGGTCTACAAAACTATGATTAGCTCTTGTTCAGAGACACTTATTACAGATGCTAAAAGAATATAGTTTCTCAAACAGTATGAACATGAGTGTAAATATTTAGATCATTTATAATAAAAAAAAAAATAAATACATCACATACTTCAAAGATATACTGTGTAACTAGTAGAGCAACACTGCATTTGGTTAACTGACAAAAACTCTTATTACATTAAGGCACAATAAAAAAGTTTCTCACCAGTGGAAACACAAACATCAAAATCAATTTTTTGATGAAAAAAACCTCTTACACATATATTATAAGAATGAGGTTTTTAACTAGCATGAATAAAACTATGAAAAGTTGGATGAAACCTGACCTAATTGGAATTTTTTTTTTTTATGTACACAAGAAAATGTGAAGATAAACAATGTGAAGAGTTAGATAATCCTTTCTTGAAAAAGTCTTTTTACATGAAAAAGATTTCTCTCCAGTATGAACACAAATGTGCTTATTTAGAAGAACTATTAGGGAAGAACTTTTATAACATATACTGCAAGAATAAAGTTTATTACCCAGTATGAACATGACTGTGTCTAGTCAGTTGACGTCTCCGTGAAAAACTCTTATTACATATACTACAAGAATAAGTCCTCTCACCACTGTGCTCAATAAGTTGACCTCTTTGTGTAAAACTCTTGTTACATACACTACAAGAATAAGGTTTCTCACCAGTAAATTGCCTGTGTTGAGTCAGTGTAATTCCATGTGAGAAGCTCTTTTTACATATAACACAAGAATAAGTTTCTCACCAGTACGAATATGACTATGTAGGGTCAAATTTCTCCTCATTAAAAATCTCTTATTACATATGATACAAAAATAAGGCTTCTCACCAGTATAAACTCGACTGTGCTCAGTCAGTTTACTTTTTTGTGAAAAACTGTTATTACATACACTACAAGAACAAGGTTTTTTTACCAGTATAAACACGACTATGTTTAGTCAAATTAGATCTAGTTGAAAATCTCTTATGACACATATTACAAGAATAAGGCTTCTCACCTGTATGAACACGACTATGTACAGTCAAACTAGAACTTTGTGAAAAACTCTTATTACATACACTACAAGAAAAAGGCTTTTCACCTGTATGACCATGATTGTGTATAGTCAGTAGACCAAGGTATGAAAAACTCTTATTACATATACTACAAGAATAAGGTTTCTCACCGGTATGAACACGACTATGTTCAGTCAAACGAGCTCTTTCTGAAAAACTCTTATTACATATACTACAAGAATAAGGTTTCTCACCAGTATGAACTCGAATGTGCTTATATAGAGTAGCGTTTTGAGAAAAACTCTTATTACAAGTGCTACAAGAATAAGGTTTCTCGTCAGTATGAACACGAATATGTGCTCTCAGTGTATTTTTTTGTGAGAAACTCTTATCACAAAAACTACAAGAAAAAGGCTTCTCACCTGTATGAACACGATTGTGTTTAGTCAGTTCATCTCTTCGTAAAAATCTCTTATTACATGTACTACAAGAATAAGGCTTCTCACGCGCATGAACACAACTATGTTCAGTCAGACTACGTTTCTGTGAGAAACTCTTATTACATGTACTACAAGAATAAGGCTTCTCACCTGTATGAACACGACCATGTCCAGTCAGTGCACCTTTTTGTGAGAAACACTTACCACAAGAACTACAAGAAAAAGGCTTCTCACCTGTATGAACACGATGGTGTAAAGTCAGTATACCTCTTCGTGAGAAACTCTTATTACAAATACCACAAGAATAAAGTTTCTCACCTGTATGAACACGATAGTGTAAAGTCAATACACCTCTTCGTGAAAAACTCTTATTACAAATACTACAAGAATAAAGTTTCTCGCCAGTTTGAACACAAATGTGTGCAGTCAGTGCACTTTTGTGTATGAAACTCTTATTACAAGAACTACAAGAATAAGGCTTCTCACCAGTATGAACACGACTATGGTAAGTCAAACTAGACCTACTTGAATATCTCTTATTACATATACTACAAGAATAAGGTTTCTTGCCAGTATGAACACGAATGTGTTCAGTCAGTGCTTTTTTTACTGAGAAACTCGTATTACATGTACTACAAGAATAAGGCTTCTCACCTGTATGAAGACGACTATGTTCAGTCAGATTACGTTTCTGTGTGAAACTCTTATTACATGTACTACAAGAATAAGGCTTCTCACCTGTATGAACACGAATATGTTGAGTCAGTGCACTTTTTTGAGAGAAACTCTTATCACAAGAACTACAAGAATAAGGTTTCTCACCGGTATGAACACGGCTATGTTGATTCAAATTACCTCTAGTTGCAAATCTCTTATTGCATATACTACAAGAATAAGGTTTCTCACCGGTATGAACACGACTATGTTTAGTCAAACTACCTCTACTTGAATATTTCTTATTGCATGTGCTACAAGAATAAGGTTCCTCTTCAGTATGAACACGAATGTGCTCAGTCAGTTTACTTTTTTGTGAGAATCTCTCATTACATGTACTACAGGAATAAGGCTTTTCACCTGTATGAACATGATTGTGTTCAGTCAGTAGACTTCTTCGTGAAAAACTCTTATTACATACACTACAAGAATAAGGCTTTTCACCAGTATGAACACTGCTATGTTTAGTCAAATTAGATTTACCTGAAAATATCCTATTACATATACTACAAGAATAAGGCATCTCACCCATTTGAACGAGATTGTTTTTATTTACTCAGAAGATCTCTTATTACATATACTACAAGAAAAGGATTTCACACCATTATGAATTTCGCAGTGTTTAGTTAGACTTCTTTTTGAAAAAAATCTAGTTACATATATCATAAGAATAAGGTTATTTTACAGGATGAAAAACACTTTTGCAGTATATGTTTACTTTTCTGAGAAAAACTTTACTTGCTCAGACTGCACAAATAAGATTTAACAATGTAATTAATTTGAAGAAAAATTCTAACTACATGAAATGCAAGAAATAAGATATATGCTTATATGACCCGTATTAACTGTGGATCTTTCCTTGATGACTTCAAAAATTAAATCACTACACGACCCGAATACTATGCAAAATCTTGTTGTAAAGCACTTTTGCATGGGTTACTAGAGCAAGAATCATAAGGGTAGTTGAGTTAGATCTCTAGAATAACAATCATAAATATGCAGCAAGAAATGAAGACATAAATCCACTTTGCATTGGTATTAAAACAGAAATGCATAAATAGAAGAAAAATTATAGATTTTCTATTCAAAATAAAAATTTTTCTTTTTTTATTTGACACAAATAGCTATAATTAGATAATGGTTAAATAATTATTTATTAACTAAAATGAAGGCAATATTTCAAAATAATTTTCACAACTAAAGTTAATCATTTAATAGCACAAAGGTGCCTTCAATAGCACATATTACGAAAACTATTCCTATATTATGAGCACAAAACATTTAAATGAAATTACTTCTCATTGCAATCTTTTTATTTAGAACAATTAGTAACTACACTTGGAATCATTGTAACTATGTGTCACACTTTGCCCAAATACCTTTTACCATTGTCACAACAAAGAATGCTATTGCCAAAACAGAAAGATATTGCGTTCAATAATAATATCTCCTTCTGCATGAATAGATTATTAAATACATGAATCGAACAAAAAATATAATTTTTTTTTAAATATTTGGGCAGCTTGAATTTTATTTACTGTCAGCACACAGAAAATGCTATTTTATCATTCCTGCATGGAAATAACCCTTTTAAAGCACTTTCTATAGATTTTCCATTACTATGAATGCAATAAATTTGAGTCTTATAAATTTGAGAATAAGATAAAATTTGTCAACGTTTCCGGCTGCCTATTTTTTTTACCTGTAGTGATGCACGAGGCGTTTTTTTTCTCGTTTAAGTTCGTCTTTTGAATAAAATAATTTCTAAGCTTGCTTATAGCTTTTATAGAATATTTTTAAAATTAATATTTAGTAACCGTAATTGCAGTTGTCCCTTGGCGCTTATTTTTGTTTGGATCGATATATTGTTTATAAACAGAAAAAATTATGAAACTGTATAGCTCATCTTTTAATCTAAATTTACCGCAAAAAACCTCTTTGGCATTTCATAAAATATGCTTAATAAGTTCATGTGATAAAGTTTTTTTCGCGATTTTCGAAACTTACCAGTTTTGACTATTGGTAAAGCTAATTTTTTACCTCAATGGCTTATAAACGATCAGAAGCTTCTAAGTATTCAGAAAACTGCAAACTTTTAGTGAAAGCTGTCACGAAATTTGATGTACGTTGTTATCTGTTATCTAATTTTCTTTTATTCTGGAAAGGTTTTTCTTTGACTTAAGAGAAAAATATTTCACAGCGATATTTTTTTAGGCTGTGGTATAATTTATCAAAAATCATATTTTGCTGTAATGGTGCGGAATTGGACACCCAATGTTCAATTTCAATACATCAATAATATTGTCATACTTCAGTTCCTTACAATTCGTATCAACGAATCGAACTGTAAGAAGAAAGGACCATCAAGGATTTCTAATTTTAATTACCAATGCATGCTTTCTTCTTCGTGAAAATTTACAATCAAGTGTCCAATCTATTTTGGCTATTTTTTATATTCTTTATAGAAAACAGAGAAGAAAACTTAAAAGTGAGATTTTCTTTTAATATAAGAAATCGATATAAACGAAAAATTGATGTTTTTAAACAAGTAAAATCACACTCAATGTAATCACAAAATCACACTCAATCACAGTACAGCACTCAATTTTTTTTTATAACTGTCATTGGAAAAGCCGATGCAATTTTGGGTTTACGGCTACTAATGTTTATCTCCGTAGCCTTGTAATTTTGAACCAATTCAGAAGACAAGGAAACTCTTGGATTGGTACGATTTGTTATGGGAACATGGAGGACTTTTGTGACTCAACAAATTTAGCGTGCATCAGTCACTTTACTGTATGCGAGGATCGAACCCACAACCTCTTGGACAAGGGCCCACTGCTCTACCAACCAGGCTATCCCGGCCCATCACTCAGTTTAAGAAGAATCCTATTCTGTATTCTAGCCAAATCCTTTTTTGAAAGAATATATTTCTGTATCGTGGTCTGTCGCTCCAACTACAATCACCAAAGTGCCAAATAGATTTTAAACTTGCAATTAAAAGAGAAAAAAATCACGTAGATGTTTGCCCTAGGGTGGCTACGAATTATAGCTTTCGAGTTGGTTCATTTCTGGAATGTTTTTTCTTTTTCTTAAGTTTCTGACGGGCTGCTGCCAAGACTTTGCGATTATTCTGCTCAGATCAAGATACATTGGTTTTTACAAATCAATTTAGCTTTAACTTATAAAATAATGTTTCTTTTAAAACAAGTTGTAGGTGCGGTATGGCCAAAAGTGGCTTTTGCGCCAATAATTCTAAACAAACAAACAAACAGATCAAGATACAGAAATCTCCCCTTTTATTACATCATAAATGTTTTTACTGCTTACGACTTCTTAGCGACTTTCTCTGTGGTTTGGCGTAGATGTGGTTCATAATGTGGTGGTTTGACAGTTAACGTTTTTATCTAGAATAATGACTTAGTGTTAAAGGGTAGATTAAAGACTTTAAATCAAGGTTTTTAATCTTAGAAAGCAATGTACGTTGTGTGGTAAATATTTAGATTAAAAAAGTTTTAGTATCAGCCTTGATCTTTTATTTATAATGCAAATTATTAAGAAAGTTTTGCATATCTTGGTATGTTTTATTTTTCTAATAGTTGAATAACCATTTTTCACAGGGCTCGAAAAAACTCAGAAATTTTACCCGTCCCCGAGGACGGCTTGTCCAACAATGTACCCGTCCTCCTTTGAAACTAACCCGTCGCTTCTAAATAAATAAAAATATAATTTTCTCTTATTTATTACAAACATTTATATAAATTGCACAATGAATTAGTAGTTACTAGGATTACATTATACAGTAATAAAAGAAATACTAGGTTACTAATNTCAAGATACAGAAATCTCCCCTTTTATTACATCATAAATGTTTTTACTGCTTACGACTTCTTGGCGACTTTCTCTGTGGTTCGGCGTAGATGTGGTTAATAATGTGGTGGTTTGACAGTTAACGTTTTTATCTAGAATAATGACTTAGTGTTAAAGGGTAGATTAAAGACTTTAAATCAAGGTTTTTAATCTTAGAAAGCAATGTACGTTGTGTGGTAAATATTTAGAATAAAAAAGTTTTAGTATCAGCCTTGATCTTTTATTTATAATGTAAATTATTAAGACAGTTTTGCATATCTTGGTATGTTTTATTTTTCTAATAGTTGAATAACCATTTTTCATATGGGTTATAAAGAGAGGGCTAACTTCCAACTAGAGAACAAGAACATTGTCGAAAGAAGTATTTTTCCATTCATCGAGCATTAGCAATAGAAAAAAGATTTCTGTATAAGTATATGTGCTTAAATAATGGTGACTTATAGGCAGTGGCCCACCAGAAATTAAAAAATGCATCACAGAAGTGGACTTACTTGAAATTTATAATTCATTGTTACCTTTTGACTAACCACAAAAAAATATTTTTATATTTTAGCAACTTAAAACGCTTTTTGGTGTTTTGTAGAAGGTAGTAGGCCCAAGCCGATACTGATACAGAAATATCCCTGCAATAGATTGCTAGATATCAATAAACTGGACATAGAAAACATTTAAATACTCATTGTAACAATTACAAATAAATTATCTAAGAATTACACTTTTAAAGAAACACAAGAAAATAGCAAATGGAATAAATTAGTTTTTAAGTCGTTTTTAATTCTTCTTTCTGTTTATATCTGTTCATTCATCCTTTCCATCCGTTCTTATTCTGTTTATTTCATGTCTGTTCATTTAAACAGTAAAATGAACAGAAAAAATTAAAGAGACTAACTTTTGAAATAAGTAACTCTCATTGTTTGCATCTGATTTACTTTAAATTTTTGCTAAATTGAACTGCAGATCATTTCAGTCTGGGCTTATAAGTTGAAGGTTTTGAGAGAAAGAGAGAGGGAAGCAAAACTTAAATGGATAATCAGTGGGATTTTTAATGCATTTCTATTTTTAAACGAAGGTAAACTAAGATTGATGGTTTGTTCAGATGAGAAGTTGAAAGTTTCCCACAAATACACTGTGTCTTATTCTTCTTATTTTTATGTGTTTTGAATTATGTGTAAATTTTCAATGAAAAAATGCACTTTGTGTATTTCCAAAGATAAGCTCATCTATGTATAAGATACATGCATTCTCTATAGATCTCATACTAAGATGGGCATATGTTTGGAAATATGCTGTATATAATGTCCAATTTGTTTCCTTATAATCCTTAATTGGAAATATGTTTTATAATATTTTTATAGTTCATTTTAGAACATTTGTTTTCATTTGATTGTCTCTTTTTTATAGAAGACTGATGAGAATTTTACCACCTGCTATGATCATCTTTTGTCTACCCTGTTGTATCATACTTATAAGGAAGCAAACAGTCATGAAGCTATGCATATCATATCAAAGTAACATGCAATTTTAATCTTAAAAATCTGTGTAGATATTAAAAAAGCTTACTAAATCTTATTTTCTATAAAATTTTATTTTATAATTAATATTATTTTTTTATGGTTGTGAACCTAACAGCTCAAGGGTATGTGTGAGTACATGTATATGTACAGTATTGTCTTTTTAATACAATCTCACATTCTTGCATCCTTTCTTTTAGAACATGGTATTAGATGCTAAAGAAAATTTGTCATTGGTCTACAAGACAAGTAACTAAAAAAATGTAATTAACCAATAAAAATTTTTCATCAGTCGATTTACATGTATCTATTAGACTTTTTTTTAAAAGAAGTTCATTTATGAAAAAATTGCAATAGATTGCATAATTGAAGAATGTGAATTGTTCTCAATCAAGATGAAATATGCTGTTTTGTGATCATAACCCATACCTAGACAAGACACCAAAGCAGCATGTACATAGTTTGCTAATTCATTTTTCTATTCTCATTGAATCAATGGATGACAAAATTCTCAAGAAAATAATTTTAACTTCTATTTCTTGATGTTACTGCTCAATAAATTGGTGAGGTGTATTTTAAAAGTAATTAAGGAAAAAAAAATTACTGAATTTACTTTTGCCGGTGAAATAAAAAAGTATCAAAGAGTCTTAAAACCACTTTAGATGACCACTTGAGCCCTGATAAATAATTTTATAATAAATAAGCTGATAAATAAGTTTTTCATTTCCCTAGGCTGCTAGTGCAATCCATTTTAAATATTTGCTATTAAAATGTAATACCTTCCATTTTGCATTAAATGTCCATATTGCCCTTATTTCTTATGCATTTTTTAATTCTTTTTTATTGGTCTAATGATTTTTTTTTTATTAAAGAAATTTTTCAACAATAAATTTTTTTTCTTTCACTAGGTTCCATGAAAAATTTCTCATTCAGTCAGAACTTGAAAAGGCAAATAGATTTAAAAAAGTTTCAGATAACTTAATCAATTTCTTCAATAATGAAGGCAAATATCAGGTATAAATATACAACTGTTGAATATTCATAATTTACTTTAGATTGTATTGTGATATTTAAACACATGAAATTATACACAAAATATTTAAACACAATCTTACCAAATTGTATGTTTTTCTTTTTCTGTACTATTTTATGTATGTCCAAGAGTTAATAACAATTCTAAGTTCTCAAGACCAGTTTTTAGGACCCTTGATCTTTGAAATTTTCAGTTTTTTTTATACATATAACAAACAATTAAGCTATTTTCTTAGAAAAAAATATTATGTTTTACTAAAATATTGGGCACCCACTGCAATATTTTTGCCATTATGACAACGAGACACAAAGGATTTCCCTATGTATGTTATAAATTCTACATCTGAAAAAAAGTTAATTTGTATTATTATTAGATGAGGTGTAATCTACTTAAAATGTATAGTTATTAATGTGCTCCCAACCTTTTAAACTTTGCTCCAAAATGTAAGAATAAGTAAGTATTTTTTTCTTTTGAAAAAAAAATTTTTTTTTTATTGGCTTGCAAGCAAATTATACTAAGTCAATAGTTGTAGCTCTGAGGTATTTGCAGATTTTTTTTTAATGTTATGGAATAAAAAACACATATTTTTTTTTTTTTAAATGCAGATTTCTATGACATTATTAATTTTGTGAAATTTACCTTTTATTTTTAATTTTTGCATTGAAATTCTATGAAGGAGAAAGTCTTTGTTTAATAATTTCACTAGTAAGCCGATAATTTTACACTTTTATTTATTAATAAACTATTATTAATTAAAACGTTAAACAAAAACATGAGATATAAACTACAAAGCTTCACATTTAGGTTTTTTAAAATTTTTTTATTATTTTTATCAAGTGAAGGCAAAACGCTATTGAAATTTTTTTATTTTATACCGATAATTTTAAAAAAAGTCTACCTCACAATTTCATCCACACACACGTATGTGCAACATAATTCCCCATATATGGGTTATAAAGAGAGGGCTAACTTCCAACTAGAGAACAAGAACATTGTCGAAAGAAGTATTTTTCCATTCATCGAGCATTAGCAATAGAAAAAAGATTTCTGTATAAGTATATGTGCTTAAATAATGGTGACTTATAGGCAGTGGCCCACCAGAAATTAAAAAATGCATCACAGAAGTGGACTTACTTGAAATTTATAATTCATTGTTACCTTTTGACTAACCACAAAAAAATATTTTTATCTTGTTGCAACTTAAAAAAGACGCTTTTTGGTGTTTTGTAGAAGGTAGTAGGCCCAAGCCGATACTGATACAAAAATATCCCTGCAATAGATTGCTAGATATCAATAAACTGCACATAGAAAACATTTAAATACTCATTGTAACAATTTCAAATAAATTATCTAAGAATTACACTTTTAAAGAAACACAAGAAAATAGCAAATGGAATAAATTAGTTTTTAAGTTGTTTTTAATTCTTCTTTCTGTTTATATCTGTTCATTCATCCTTTCCATCCGTTCTTATTCTNTTTCTCTGAAAAACTATTTTAAAGGCTAAAATGCTAATGAAATTTTTTTACTTTTACTACCTATATTTTAAGAAAAGTTTACCTCACAATTTCATCCATACACTTTTATGTACAACATAACTCTCCTAATCTGAATGTTCCAGATTATCTGAATCCATTATTTATTTATTTAGAATTTTTTTTAGAACTCGGATGAAAAAAAGCGAAATATATTTCATAAGGTAACTATAATAAATAACTAACAATAAATAAATAAAAAATTCCTTAAATCCATGATTTGATCATAATTTAAATGTGTTTAATTGCTTTGAGAGTAACAAATATTAGTTGTGAAAATATTCAAAAGTATTGGTTAATAACTCATGGTAGTTAGCTATTTTTGTTAAATGTCATAAATTTGAACTAAAATATGATCTATGAATTATAAAATTAATTATGTTGAGAAGTGGGATTCATAAATTTTATGAATTTTAATTTTATGAATATGATGTCTTAGTCTGATGTTTGTCTAGAAATTAATTTCATGCTAATAAGACTTATAATATAGTTCTTAGTACTTTCATTTTTATAAAAACAAAAATTGTAATAGTGTTCTGCATTTCATATTTCCTACTTCCTTTGTCTGCCTATTTTACACTTCCTTCCTTTCAATCTTCTTCCACAATGTGTCACTGATTGTATAGCAATGATTTCTAAAGGAAGTTTTAAATAAACACATTTAAATTACGTATCAAGTTCAATCTATATAATTTCTTTTCAATTCTTTGTATTGAAATTAAAGGATATTATTTCATCACCTCTTTCATCTGCAGGTTTTATCAATATGTATTTTTTTCTTTGTTATTAGTTACACCTATCTTATTTTGTTTTGCTGCAACTCTAAATTGAGAGCTAATATTAAATAAAAATAAAATAATTATAAAAATAAATAAATAATGAAATAAACAAATTAAGCTGTGTCAGTTTTAACTCAATAAATAGGATTTATAATAAATTAATCTATAGTTTCAGAATTCCCATGTTTCAATTTTTAATTTTTGAAACAAATAAAGAAAATGTAAAAAAGTATTTAAGTAAAGTACATATGTATATTAACAAGTAGATTAGAAGAAAGTTAATTTTCAATTATTTCTTCCAAAAACTGAAATAGGTTTCCTTATGTTTTTAGTCTCATTCATTTAATTTCAGATTTAAATTTTAGATTTTGGATTAATACCACCAAAAATATATTTTGAATGCACTTAAGATCTTTTGTTAGTAGGAAAGACATTTCCCTTCGATTTATTGGTCAGTAGGAAAAAACAGAAATAGAAAATGCAGTTACATCTGCAGTGTGAACAACAAAAGGCGAGAATCTAAGTTTGCGTTTAAAATCTGCAATGTGTATTAAAACTGAATTAAACAACTAGGATATTTTGGAATTAATCCCAAATTGTATATTTATTTATAATGCTTGCAAAATCTCCGAGATTGCAGATAAAATTAAATTAAACTATTATTTGTTTAATCTTTAAATATAACCAGGAAATAAACTTATATAGCTTTTCAGCTGGATATCTTAACTTGTTATTATTATTTTTTTTTTATAATCGTGAAGTACAACCAGTAACTAAGCTCAACAATCCTTTCAAGTAACTAGCAGAGCTACTATTGTTATTGTTTGGCAAAGAAAATCTTCATCCTATATTCTCTTTACTTGTGATGTACAGGCATTGCTATGACAGTGAATCTGAATACAACTTTTCCTTATTTAATAACCATAGTTCTCTCTAGGAATAAAAAGGAGCAGGGTGCTTCTTCACAGAAAAGGATACTTTGAGTTTTAAAAAAGCACTCTTTTAACACTAAAAATATCAAACTGTGTAATATCTGAATCTGATCCTCAACAATTTTTAAGTTACTATCTTATAGTATTTTATGTGTACATCGAAAAGTAATTTGACTCATTATCTAAATAAGAGAAAAAATTGTAATTTATTAATAATTAAGGGCATGCTAAGAGATAATCTCTGTGCATAAATTGTTTTAAAAAATAAGTTAACTAAAAAAATTATTTTTTGATGAACAGCTTTAAAGTATATATATATATATATATTTTTATAATTTATGCTAAAAATTATTAGAAAATAAACATTTAGCGGTGTATTTTTTTAAAAAGTTATATATTTAAAAAACAATATTAAATTTTAAAATCACTTAAAAATTTAACAGTTAAGAATAATCCTAACAAAGTAAATATTCATAATAGTAATCAGAATAAACCTATCAGAATAAAACCTTAAATACAAAAATTATCTGTGCTCAGATAATTTATGTGTGCTATTATTATTTTAACGGTTAATTAATTTTTCTTAAAAATGGAACATGAATAAAGAGGCAGTGTTTTTAAGATATGACAGCTTATTTTTACAAAAAAGACAAAGAGGGCAGTTTTATAAAACACTTAGGGAGAACACTGAATGATTATAACTTCTCAAACACATGGAAATACATAACTGCAAAATGCTAAAAGTTATAGTTTGAACCTTTAAAAAAAGTTATTCCACTCAGTCAAGATTGAATTCATAACCCCAAGTTTTTCCCCCGTGGTGTTCACTATGTCCTAACCGACTGAACCACCAAATAACAGTGTTTTTCACATTATAACAAGAGACATTACAAAAATATCAGTGAAACATTGAAGCAGGATCAAGAGATACTTTACCACATTGTACATGAAGTGCCATCTGTGTGTTATTAGGAAAATTAGTTATAAATACTGGGGTTAGAGTTCATAATTTAGAGATATTTAAATTTCCTTTTAAAAAAAATTATTCTCTAACTTTATTTCTTCTGGTGACCAGTGAACTTTCTAACTTTCCCAGTTTTGTCCTGATCTTCTTTCCATTACTAAGAGAAAATTGTTTTTATTTTAAATATTGAATTGCAAATATGGTTAGTTGTCAATTTCAAAGCTGGTAGAATTACAATATTATTTTTTACTGAAATATTTTATTCATTCAGATTTCAAATTTTTATTGCAAAAAAAAAAAATAATAATAATAATAACTTTTATTGCAAATAATAAATAATACTATTTGAATAATATCATTTTTATTCTATCTTTTTAAATAGTTCAGTGTTAATTTGAATTGCTGTGTATTTTGATCAAATGCAACAAAATAGAAAAAAAAAGTCTTTGTTACAATACTGAAACAGTTGTGTTTTTTCCATATTTTTTTAACCATTTTCTTTGTATTTTATATCTTAATTTCTATTTTATTATTTGTGCAAATGTTTTCAATTTCTTTGAAGGTTTTTCTATTTACATATTTTATGTGTCCCCAATAAATTTTATAAAATGCATTTTGATGTTTTTAATTGAAATATTAAGGGATTATTTCTCTGAAAAACTATTTTTATTTTTATTTCTAGAGAGAAAAAGGTTTCAGAATTTTGTCTCTATTACTACATTTATCCCAGTCAAAAATTACAGATACTATTTTATTGGAAAAAGACTCTACTTGTAAGTTATAGATACCTTAGTTGTAGTTCGTATTGCATTTATTCTGTTTAACTATAAAAAAACAGCCAAAATTTTGTTTTTAAATGTTCTTGACCCCTCTATTTTTACTTATGAAGTTTATTTTTGTTATCTTTTGATTTCTTTGAATTCATATTTAATTTTTCCTGTTAAATTTATATTTTAATTGCTTTTGAAGCTTAAGTGTATAAAATTCATAGGAAACATACTTGATATATTTAAATTTATTTTTTAGTGTAAAATCTGAATTAGTAAAAAAAAAAACTTTTTTTTAAAACTTTTTAATGAATTTTAATATTTATTTTTAAATTTTAATATAGCATGTCCTAAAATAAATTAAATTTGTTTTCTTCTTGTGCTTGAGATAGTTTCTATTGCTACAATTATTTTTTCTTGATTGATTTTATTGCATTTGTGATTGAGGGATCATTACTGAAAAAATCAGTTTTTCTTGTACGAGATTTTTTAAAAAATTTTTTAAAATCATATTCAATATTTTTTTTCTGTGTGCTTCGTAGTCAACAAAAATGTTTTATTTCTGCTGAAAGTTTAATTTTGTTTGATAAATATGGACTCCATAACCTCTGAGAGGCTCTTTTTATTACTATGTTTGGTTTCCACTTTTTTTTTCTTATTTATTTTTGTGGCATACTTAGTTTACTACACCATTTGACATCTTCTAATGCATCACATTGTGGAGGAATTAATTTAATTTTGGTAATGCCATAATTCTTTCTTATCTCGACTCATCGTTTCATCCTGATGTTTTTTAGTATTGTGTCATTCGTAAGAATGCATATTCCTTAGTAAATGACCAATCGATTGCCACAACATTTGACACAGAAATGTATTCGTCTGTGATATGCCGTTGTTAGATTCTGCGATTTTCTTATAAGTTTATTTCGTTCGTATTTTATTATTTTTTTTTACTACTGTTTTTCTAATATTTCAAACGTCTTCTGTTTTCATTATTCATATATGTTGTAATGTTTGTAACATTTTGTTCTTTTCCACTTTAGTTGTGAAGCTTTTATTGGCAACCATATGATTTAGTTACATTAGTATGTAATGTTTTAGTTTGTCGGCATCCATATTATATTTTAAATGGGACACAATTTAGAAGGAAATGAATTTTATTTTAATTTTAAAAAAATGCTGTTATGATATATATATATTTTTATCTCATTTAAAGGTAGTGAAGAAACTTGGAAATTTGACTGGGCATCATACCTAAGAGAAGATGATATTAACTGTAATTTTCCTGTAGAAAGCGATTCTGAGGTATAATTTTTATATTCTCTTACTTTTAATATTTTAGTTAACATATTTGACAAAAAAAAAGTAAAAACATTACCAACATTGAAAAAGCCACAACCCTTTAAAAAATATGGATTTAACAAAGAAAAAATTGTTAATCAAAATTAAAAAAAATTATTATTGACATAATTTGCCATACTTTTTAAAGGGATTTTGAATAAAAATAACAAAATTTATCTTCTGAAGTTATAAAACAATAAAATGTAACCTTATTAACCAGGTTATAAATATAACATTTATAAGATATGGTATTTTCATACATATTGAATGCCTTTTCTACATCTTGCATTTTTTCTATCTATGCTGCCAGAATACATTTATACAACAAAATGTTTTTTTTTTAAATTTAATAAAATGGTTATTTACCAAATAAAATAAAATGGTTTATACTTACCCACTCCACCTAAAATCTATTTTATCTCCAGCTGTCAATTCTTTCTTTTTCCGAGTATGCCTCATCTTGGAGTTTTACTTTAACTGTCAACTCTCAACTTAGTTCGGGGTACATCCAGTTTACTTTCCTGTAAGAAAAACTATTTTTCTTACTTGTTACTTTATGGTAATAAGATAATGTACTTGGCTGTATGGGCTAAAATTAATATAAAAAATGTAACTAAATATAACATGTCATTTAAAAATTTGTATGAAAGAAAATTTAAAAATCTGTATGAATCTGTATTTGTTGATTTTCTTCTTCTTCTTGGCCACTACAGCCTATAACAGGCCAAGGTCATCCCAATAGGTTTTTGCCATCTTGATCTATTCTGTGCCATGGCCTTCCAGTTAGTTATTCCTATTGTCTTTAGGTCTCTCTCAACTGTGTCCAGTCACCTACCCGGTAGACGACCCCTTTTTCTTGTACCTTCTGGTTTAAAAAAAGTTATTTTTCTTTGCGGGTTTTTGGTCTTTAGACCTATAAAGGTGTCCCAGCCATCAAATGTGATTGACCTTAATGACATGAACTATATCTGGTTGTTTATACTTTTTATATAACTCATGATTGTAAAGGGTGCACTCTTTTGTTATTCTCATAGACTGTACCAAAAATTCTTCTAAGTATCCCTCTTTAAAAAATCAGCAATTTGTTCTCTTTTTTATTAAGAGTTCAGCACTCACTACCACATAGGATCACAGGCCGTAGGAATGTTTTGTATATATTAATTTTTGTCTTTTGTTTAAGAAATTTACTTTTTAGTTGTTGCTATCGATTTCAGTATTTATGTCATTTTTGCAGGTTACAGTAGTCCCAAGATATTTAAATTCATCAATAGCTTCAAATTCATAATCATAATTCACATGCAAGGGCATTGTCTTAGCGAGCCCTCTGTTTATCTCCATACATTTAGTTTTGTCAGCATAAATGGTTAGTCCCATTTCGCTAGCTGCTACTTCAAGAGCTTTGAAGTTCCTCCACTACTGATTGTCTAGATCTTCCTATAATATCAAGATCATCTGCATAAGCAAGAATTTGTGTAGATTTTCGAAAAATAGTGCCTCTTACATTGATTCTAGATGCTCTGATTACTTTTTCAAGTGCGATATTAAATAGAAGACAGGCGAGTGCATCTACCTGCCTCTATCAGTGTAGAAGGACTCGGAGAGTTCATTTTGCAACTTAATTCTGCACTTGGTTCTTCTGAGTGATGCCTTTGTCAAGTTAATAAGCTTCAGGGGAACATCAAATTCCTCCATTGCTTCATACAGCTTATTTCTCTTGATACTGTCAAATGCTGCCCTAAAGGCAATAAAAAAATGGAAAGTCTCAATAAATTCTTTTGTCTTCTCAATAATTTGGCTTAAAACTTGTATTTGATCAATAGTAGATTTTCCTCTTTGAGAACCACACTGGTAACTTCGAATCACCTTCTCCACGTCTGGTAAAAGCCTTTTATATAGTACATTAGAGAAAATATTGTATGCTTTATTCAATGTATTTGTTGATATGACATTTAAAAATTTGACTGCCACCTTTTTGTCAAAATACATCTCATGTAAATTTTATTATTATATTTTTTAATTAAGAATTATTATGGATATTTTATCAGGGTGGCCACCCACCTGGAAAACCTTGAAAACCTGGAATTATCAGGGAATTTTTTTTATACTGGAAAAAACCTGGAAATATCAGGGAAATTTGGATAAAAACCTGGAAAAATCAGGGAATTTTAACGAAAAGCTGGAAATATTTTCTTTGATAATTTTTTTAATTTCACTAATTTAAATTATTTACTAATTTTCTTAATTTAAATTATTTCATCCATTATACCCACTTTCTTAAACGGAAATATATCGCCAAACAGTTGAAATATCATCAACTTTGTGATACTTTAGCTTTCATCAAAATTTGCTTCATTACAGCTCTGTTAAACTAGAATGTCACATAAAATTCTCCCACGGTTGCTAAACGAATGTAGAAATCTTTGACGGCTATGGGACTGTGCAATTTAGGAAAGATTCTGGTGGAGGTGGAAAAAGGGATTAGACAGGGGTCACCAACCCTATGCCCGCGGGCACCATGGCGCCCGTCGATCGGTCTAGGTGCGCCCACTGCTTGTGCCCTACCATAAAATATTTCATTTCTCCTTTTTCCCATAAAATGCTATGCAAATTTTATGCTATGCATATACATAAGTACACTAGCTCAGTAAAGGCAAAATACTTGATAGATTTTTACATTTAATTGAAGAGATAAAAAATTATCTTGCAGCCAAAAATCTATTATTTTTAGAACCAATGAGATACTAATACTAATTATATTCCTGTGTTAAATTATTTTTTAAAATTAAGTTTTTGTGCATTATGAGTAGTGTGCATTATTACCTACGTCTATCAACTATAAATTTATCTTGAAAAAATAAATGTGCGCCCGCCATTCGACCGATGTTCTGGTATTTGCTCTTAGGTATAAAAAGATTGGGGACCCCTGGCTTAGACGATTGAGATTTCTAAAAATATGTACGATTAAAAAATAATTTGTACAATGGGAAACGTTTTATTTTCTAAAATTTTTTAACAATGAGCAATCCTAGAAAAAATACGGTCCAAAGTGACCAAGTTAAACTTGTTCTTTCTTTCTTTCTTTTTTTTTTTTTTTGTTAGTTCCAATATGTAAAATAACTTTTAAACACATAGTTATGCATTTTAAGAAATGCATTTTAGTCTTGTTTAAAATATTATTTTACTTACTTAAATCAACCGCGTTTTTTTTCGCAATCAGTATAAGGTAGTTATTTAGTACGTATANTTTATTTTTAAAATTTTTATTTTATTTTAAAATGCACCTGACCTTATAGAGTTAAACCATAATTCAAGAAAGGCTTCAAAAAAAATCTTACCCTATTAATATCAATAGTTTTTTCAATCATTTTAAAATTTCCATTTTTGAAAAATTGGCCACATGTTTGAAAAAGTGGCCATTGTTCAAAATGCTACAGCTAGCTTTTGGCTTGTAGTAAAATTTCCAGATTTTGCTGTAAACTTGGCTAGAAAATCTTTGTACAAATTTTTTTAATTAGTAAATCTGCTAAAATTTTACTAATAAATTTAAATGGTAAAAAATACAAATTACAATACAAAAATTACGAAATACAAAATTTTTTTCAATTTCATAAAATATGTTTTGTGCAAGTATGAGAAAATGTTTTTTCTTTCCATGGAAATTTCACTTCCTTCTAAAGGGTTTGTAAATACCCCTTTTCAGTTTGTTAAAAAATTGCATATTATATATTACTTACATTATATATTACTTACATATTATATAATATATTAGTTATACTCACATGTATTTTGCTATTTCTTCTTAGCATATTCATGCAATTAAATTTTTGACTTTCTTTTTTATAAATTTATAAAAAATTTTATCTTCAATAAACATAAATTTGGATGCTAACTTTTGTACTAAAAGATCATTTATTTTTAACTCAAGAATAGTTAGCTTGCTCATTGTGAACACTCTCAAATCAAGTGACATGCTATTTTGCTATGTATGTTATGTATTACTTAAATATCAAATCAAATTGTAATCAATTACTACTCTCCTTTAGTTTTTCTCATCGGATGAATCAGCAAGTGAATCTGCTTCATCAGATGATGATTCAGTGGAGGATTTACCTGATCCTGTTTTGAGGGCTCCTCCTAGAGATGATTCAGGACTAGGAATCAGTCCTGACAGCTGCTCGGGTACATCACAGTTGTTTCATGCTACATCTGTTGTTCCCGAAAATATATCTCATGCTAACAAGCAAGAGAGGAATCAAAACACATGTTATCCTTACTGGCTAAGCCAGTATCAGAAGATGTATGGTGTGAGTCCTTATCAACTGAAATCTATAAACTTTACAAAAATTTGGTGAGGATTATTTTGAATATGTTATTTAAAAAATTCTTTAGGTATATTTGGTATGTGCTATTAAAAAACTCTAAAATTTATTATTTCATTTTTGTAATATTTATAATATATATTCAATTTTATTTTAAGATTCAATACCAATCCCATTCACCAGAATGTTCTGAAATTACTACTCTTAGTGTGTTATTTTAGAATTTTTGTCAAAATTGAACTAAATTGCAGCGGTGCAGATTTGTCTGATTGTGCAAACAAAGTTGCACAATTCAGTTGTAAGGAAATTCTGGCAGCCATGGCGAAAGTTTTGGTGTAAATAAAAAAAAAAAAAAATTTTTTTGTCAACTTCTTAATTGTAAAAAATATGTGTTACTTTACATAATTTTTCAATATAACAGTATTCAACTCAAACTTAAGTACTCTTATACTACAGATAGGAAAGAACTTTAAGACCCATGTGACCTACCAAAAGTAAATGAAAAAAAAAATCAGGCATTCATGAGATTGTTAAAAATGTTGAGAATGTTACTGAAAACTAATCTCACAAAACGTATTTCAAAATAGATGCAAGATTCGTTGTTCAAAAGAGGAACCAAATCGTAGGCAAAATTCAATCATCAAAATCAATGTTTTGCTGTGTGAAATAGGAAAATATTTTCTGTTGAGAAGTTGTTCTTTTATTTCATTGATTAAGTTATCTTTTTATTTTTCATTACCCTGCAGCTGTGTTTCTTAGTTTAGAAAAATTTACTTATTTTATACCTATGGATTAAAAATATAACCTTTTTTTATCGTTTATTTATTTATTCATCTATCTATTTATTTATTTATCTATTTATTTTTGCTTCCTGTTGATAAAAATCATTATTTTTTAGTTATTTATTCTATTTGATTTAATTTAATAGCTGATTTAATTAAAAGCAGCTGTTCAATATAAAATAATTTTCATTCGATAAGATATTTTGTTAAATTATTTAAGAATTCTCAGTCTATTTTTTCTTAATTTTTGCATTAAATCTAATATATTATGCACTTAACTTTGTTTTAATGAGGACTCCATATTTCATTAGAAGTTTCATTTCTCATATTCTCTTTTGTAGTAATATATTTTACAATAATGTTTTCTTTTTAGGGATGATTATTTAGCCAGTCAAAGTCTTACTATTGAAAAAAATGTTATTGTACATGAAAGAAATGTTGTTAAAGAGATTTTATGGTGAGTATTTTTGGTGCAAAAGAAATCCATGCTGCAATATCAGTAGTATCTATTACCATAATTAATTAAGTATTACTGGCTTCAGTAACAGCTGAGCAATTTTTTACTCATCGCAAACTTATGAAAACCAGATGTTTTAATATTATAACTTCTGATAATTCATAATTTTTCTACAATTATTAAACAGTAAATAAGTTATATTTACTTTATTATAATAAAAAATGTTTTATATGGCATAGAATCTATATATGCCATGTATCAATTCAATATATCATATATAGGTAATCTATATAGATTACAGATTTAATTAGTGAGTTATAAATTAGTAGAAAGCCTTGTTTCACCACAATATAAAAATTTTTGTGAGGTGACAGTTAAAGTAAATTTAGTTTTCTTAATTTTACCTGCACTTAAAACTTTCACTGTATGATTATCATGTTTTATATATTTACTTAAATATTTTATGTATAGGTTTTTTAATCAAAGTAAAATTTTAAACCTTAAAATTTGCTATGACTTTAAATATTTATGAAAAATTTCCTGCAAAAAAAATCTGTTGTAATTAGTATGTAACAGTGTTATAGTAAGGAGGATTAAAAAAAAAGAATCCCCCTGAATAACTTCGAATCTAATGATGAGATTTTCACATACTAGGATCCAATCTTAATGGATCAAGGGGGTGACCTAAAATTTACTAATTAATTAGTGCAAATGATATTTTAAGTTATGAAATCAGACGCAAAAATATATTTTCTCCGAGTAGATACCTTTTATTTGAAACATTTTGATTTCTAGCTCTCAAAATAAAGAGGGAGTCACAATCTAGAAAAATATGGTTCCAATAGTTTGGTCAGGAGAATGGTCCAAAATTTAGAAATTTTATTGTTAATTTTATTTTTTGCAAATTTGGAAATATTTCAAGAATTTTTTAAGCAAATTACAAAATTTTTGAACACTCATAATAATATAAAATTTGCTTATCCACAGATAATTCCATGCAAAATATAATTTTTGGTAATTATTTATTATTTTTCGTAATTTAATTTAATAATAGTCAAAAAAAGTTTAAAGGTAACTTATAAAAATTTTTTCCATTCTTTTAAATAACGTAATTTTATAACTCAGAATATAAAATTTGAGCAAATAGTTCCAGAGAAATCACATTTTAAAGATGTTGTGTATTTAAAATTCAATTTCTCAGGAGCTGTTTGACATATTTTGTTCAAATCTTGTATTTTGCTTTATTAAATTGCATTCTTCAGAATGATGTAAAATTGTGTATACCTTACTCTTCAAAATTTTCTAACTATTATTAAATAGTTAAAAAAATAATAAATAATTGTAAGAAATTATTTTTTGCACGAAATTATGTTTGAATAAACAATTTTTATAATTTTGAGGAAAATTTTTTTTGTTTAAAAATATTTCTGAGCTATGAAGAAATAAACACAAAGTTAAATTAAAGGGTCTAAACATTGGACCACTCTTTTGACAAAACTATCAGAACCATATTTCACAGATTGCGTCTTCCCCCAATATTTTAATTGTCTTAAATTAGATAAATGATTTATGCAAAAGAAGAAAAAAGTTCTGCTGTTTACTAATAATCTTACAAAATGAAAAATTATGACTAGAATGAGTAAATCTGTACAGTTTTGCTCACAGAAGTGTAAACGTTACTGTTTGATTTACTTTGTTTCAGTTTCAAAGATCAATATTTTGACTTTGCATTTTTGTTTTTGTTACAGGATGTTTTGTGGTGTACAAAATTTATTTATTGCACAATCTAAAGGCAAGGAATACATACCTAACTGTAAAGTTCACCTTTGTAACTTAACATCAGTAAGTTATTTGATTTTTGGTTTATTTTTATCGTTTTAGCATAGATTTGATTTGATGGATTCTGTGCATTTTTTAGTTATAATTATTTAGAAATAAATGTAAGTAAAAGTAAATTTAACTTCCAATATTCATAACTCAATTTATATTTTCTATATCATCACTTTGTATGCATTAAAAATCAAAATTCAAATTTTTTAAAATCCAAAAGAATATTATTATTGTCATTGAAATTTTTTAAAAATATCTTTTGAAACTTTAGTTAATTTGTTTTTATTAATATTTTATTTATAACTAAATGCAAGCCAAAGTAAACTTCACTTTGTAATTTCATCAATAAGGCTATACCACCAATTTGTATATTTTAAAAATGAAAATCATAAAAATTCTTAAAAATCAAAATTCATATTCAAATTTCATTGATATTAAAAAGTATCTTACACTTATTATCATTAACATAATTTTTAAATCTTTTTTCGTCAGAACTTTAGTTGAATTGCTTTTCTTAATATTATTTAGAAATAAATGTAAGTAAAAGTAAATTTGGCTTCTTGATGACATCAGTCATTCAATTTGTACCTCATCATCAATTTATAATTTGTATAAACTTTTCTTTTCCTTTTTGTTAAAAACTAGAACGATATTACACATATTACCGTTAACATAATTTTTCAATTCATTGTAATGATTTTTGCAATTTGAATCAACAATTTCTGTAAATTGTTAAAGGTTTTCGTTTTTTCAATTTAATCCCAAACTGCTTGACTGTCTTAAGCAATAGATTTCGCTATAAAGGAATATTGTAGTGGGAATATTGTATTTTATGTATTATATAAGTAACATACAAATATCTGTTTACAATATTTGTTCATTTTTTTAAAATCTAATTATATTGAATTTAAAATTCTATTTTTAGGTTTTATATCTTTTTATATAATATAAAACTTCAATAAGAATATTTATTTAAAAAATTCAAAGTCATATTTTTAGCATACATTTTAATTTTTGCAAGGGCTTATAGCTTTTAAATTAAAATTGATCAAGTATTTATCTCTAGTGTTCTGTCAGATATATAGAAATCATAGAACCTAAATTAGTGTGATAAAAACTATCAATAGCAACAAAAGTTATTGATATTTTTTCCATTGCATTTTTATTCAACATATATTTGTTATAATTTTTAAAATTTAGATTTTTATATTGTTGATCTAATAAAGTATATTAAATCTCTGTATGAAAATCTGATTCCTTTCATCATAATGCAGTTAATAAATGATGAATTAATGCTTTTTTTTTAATAATTATAAATTTTTATTTCAGTTAGGCTTAGGAGCAGTACTTAGTGAGTTCTGTACATATGCACGTAAGAGATCCACTCTTCATGACACAGCAAAAACCATCATTAAAGAACCTCACAATTGCCTTACTTACCAAGCCTATGGGGAATCTCTGAGAAAGCAATTGCAAATAATTGAAAGATCGATATGTGATATGGACAAAATCTTAAGAAAAGGAAGCAAGTATTTTTTCCATTCTATATTTTATTTTATCATTGAAATTAAACTTATTTCAACTTGAATTATGTATGTATTTATTTCTGTATTTGTATAAAATCCCATCGACCATTTTCACTAAAACCAAATAATGGTACCAATCAACCGGTTTTTTCTACAACAAGGGAAAACGATTAACCAAATACATGATTGTTACTTTGACAAACTAACATCATTTTGTTGCTAAAATGTAATGAATTTTATTTTTGAAAAAGCATTTTTTGAATTTTATTAAAATTTAATGAAAGTACTTTAATGTTTAGTTATTTTTACAAATGAACTGTACCATAATTTTTTTTTAATCTTATGTCCTAAACCATTAATTTCAACATTTGCTTTTATAAAAAAAAAATTATTGTTTTAGTTCCCATCAAATATGCTCTGGTTGTCAATTTGGTGGAATTTGCACTACCTTTCTTGGTCAATGAGAATTTACAGAACCTTTGTTGTACATTTGTTTATTATTCTAATTAGTGATGCAACAGATATCTGGCCAACATATTGGACTGAACACTTCCAGCTAATATAACAAATAATCAGCAGTTGCTAGATAATGCAATTATTCGGCTGAAGATCTGGCGTGAAATTGTTTATGAAAAATAGAATTTTTTTCTCCAATGCTCACTACTTTTGGCAACATAATTAACTTGTGGTAATTAACATTGATTAATTATTGTTGATTTTATGTGTGTGCATCATGTGAGCCTGATAACCTAAAACCCCAACAACATAAATGTCGAGAGAGAGAAATTATATCCCTGTCTAAATCTGGGACCTTCCTAGTACCAGACCAACTCTTTGACCACCATAGAATCAGTTGCAATAAAAAATATTAAAAATAGAACGAAAATTGCAATATTAAGCAATCAACTATAAATATTTGGTTTATTTGTAATATTTTCAGAAATATTATTACCAAATAAAGAAAATTGAAATACTTTAGAACATTGAAATGATGAAAATAATGTTATAAATATTGAAAATAATGATATAAATACATAAGTCAATAGTCACATTGTGATGTAAAGTGTTTTTATGAGCTTTAAAGTGTTCTCAAATGTATAACAAAAATATCTTATAAAATTGGATTCAATTCAACTAAAAAATCAATTTATAAAACCCTGATTGGGCCACTAATTTTGTATGGTTGTCGCATGCTAAAGCAGTGAACAATAATCAGTATTCTGAGGCTACAATTTTAAGAAAAATTTATGTGGCTATGAACAATCACAAATCTGGTGAATACTTTACAACCATAAATTCTACAAAAATTTCAAGAGCCCAAAATCGTTCAAATTTTTAATGTTTATCGAAAATGACTTGGACACTTATAGAGATTTAAAGGTCCGAAACCAGTTAAAGATCTGACTTTCAACCAGTCATTGGTTGTCAGTGAAAGAAAAGCTGCCACCCTCTAGAGGACTTGACAATGCTGAAAAAGTCGTCAGCATACTGGGTGTTAGAAACTGGAAATCTGTGACGCTGGATAGGTAGTAATGGTGGCAGCTGACTGGGATGCCTTGGTCTGCCCTCGAAAGTAGTACTAAAGAAGAAGTATATTAGTGCTGGTTGGTAAGAAAATTATTTAAATAATTTGGATCTCGTAAGAAAGTAAAATAAAAATTCATGCAAAGAGGGTAAAGGCAAGTGAACAAGCTATTTTAATTTTACTAGAATGTTAACTGATATGAAATTTCTGATATTTTTATGGAAATGTTTTTAAAAATTATAAAGAAATTTAATTTCTCTTTTTATCAATATTTTTGAATTTGTGAACAATAACTCCTTATTTTAATAACTTATTTGTAATTTTAAAATTAACTTATGTAATTAACTTCTTTGTGAATTAACCCTTATTTTTTCATTCAAGCAAATTTAATTATTCACTTGTAAGTTTGATGCTATCTTTCATCATTGGCTAAAAGGAACATTTTTTATTAGAATTCAAACTCATAGCTTCAAATGACATTTTGTCAAAATTCATAAAATATTCACTATAAAAAGTCTGTCTTAAGTAAATCATATGTTCCTGGCTCTCATTTATGACATTAAACAATGAATTTGATTGTATTGTTTATTGTTTTTCTTTTTTTAACCTTTTTAGATTGCATTTCACCTATTTTTAGAGTCTTAAAATATTTTTACTTTTCTTATATAAATCTTTTTTCTGATTTTTCACAGATGAAACCTTCACTTTAATGATTTTACAGAATAAAATGAAACCTTTGTTTCATCACATTGACCTATTATATAAAATTTATGCTGAAGTTGATTCTGAATTATCAAGTGTTGATGAGCCTCATGTTCGAGCATGCCTTTTGTTGAATTGTCTTTGGAATCTGCTTCTCAATCAAAGTATTCAAGACCAGTCATCCAATTCTGTAAGATTTTCTAGTTATTTTTCATTTGTGCACACTACGGTATTTTGTAGAAAATTATATATTTTTTTTAAATATTGAGTCAATAAAAAGAAAAAAGTACCTCTGTGGTTATATATTTGCCGGAAATTTTTTTAGTTTAGTTGAAAAATATTGATGTTTCTTTAAAGGATCCTAAAGTTTAAATTTCTTAGGTCCAGAATATTAATGATATAAACATTATCAAACAAATTTTAGGTTTTAAGTAAAAAATATATAGTTCTGAATGTATAGTAATAGTAAAAAAATTAAAATGATATGTAAAATTTAGGTGTTCCTAGAATAATTTTCATTTACAAATATGCAGATTTTCAATTTAAACTTGACATATTTTGTAGGGAAATCTGAAATAAATAATAACAAATATGCAGATTTTCCAATTTTCCACCCAATCTATAAGTATAGATTCTAGTTTTTTTTTCCTCTCTACAGTTTAAATTTTACATATTTGGTATGGAAATCTAAAATTTGAGTTATATTTTTGCTTTCAAAAAAATTCTAATCTACATTTTTGAATTTAAAAAAAAAAAGAAAGAAACATTAGGTCTTTTTCTAGAAACATAAATCATAAATATTTTTTTAATTTGTCGGAAAAATTTTCTGGAAAATATGGGACGGGAGCAGGACCTCTTTTAATCGACTTGTTTTGAATTTTGAAAAAAAAGTTTTTTTTTACACTCTAGTGCAGGCATTAAATTATAACTTAGCGATCTTCATTAATTTCCCCCAGATTAATAAGGATTCCTTTTTCAGATATTGCAAATTAATTTTATTATTTTTTAAATTATATATTTTTTATTTTATATATTTTTTATTTTATATTATTTTTTTATTTTATATTCTTTTTTTCTTCTATGATGCATGTTCTATATCATGTAATCATTATTAACTTCTGTTTTATAGCATATATGTTTTCAAATATTGAGTTACTGTGTGGTTGTGCATGCCGAACATGGCTTTTACACTAAAGGGTTTTGAGAAAAGTATCGGTATCTCGAACATCAAATTTTTAACAAGGACGGTTGCAATAGTTCAAAAAAGTACAATAGTACTCAGTTACAATAGTTCAAAAAATTTCACTTAAAAAAAATACATTTGAAACAATATCTTCCATCAGCTAAATACCTTCAAAATGACTAGTTTTTTTTAATTATTTAGCTTGTTTTATACTTAGGTAAATTTAAATCAGTGATGATTTGTGAACTTTATTTTTATTTGTTTGAAATATTAGAAAACTCTTTCCAATCTTAAGGGGGGGGGGGCATAAACTCTTCACCCCTGCTTCATTAACTTGCATGAAGGAAATCATGAAAAATATTTTTCTCTCTCTTAAAATTGATTTATAAAGAATAGGTGTATTGTGTTATTTATGTATGTTTAATTTATTTTGTTTTTGGTGGTAAGGAAAAACTTTTTTTTCTTGTCGAAAGTTTTAATTTTGTTGTGAATTCTTTGTCTTTGCTAATACTTAAACCAATATTTTAATTTCTAGTTGAATATTCTGCTTAGAATGTTCTTGGAAACATGCAAACCATACATTTCATTTTTGGAAGATTTAATAATTTTGGGATCATTTAATGGATCAAATAAGGAATTTTTTATCTGGTAAATATAACGAAAAATTTCATCATATAGAATCATTACTTTATTTTTACATTATAATGTAACAAAGATATTTGATTTTGTTTATTTTGATTAGTATTGTATACTATAATTTTTGTAGATAGTAGCCAACATTTTCATGTTATTTTTAAATGAAGAAAAAAATATTTTGCCTTAAAAAATTATCTGCTGGTGTTTATTTTCCTTAGTACTGTAGATTATAATGTATATGTAAATTATAAACAATTTGATTTTATTTGATTTTATTGAAAAATAAAAACATTTTGTCAAAAAAAAACTACATTTTCTTAGCTAAACTTTTGATTTTTATGAAAAAATTAAGTGAAGGTTGTTAACATTCAATTTAATTTATGAACATTTATTAAATTTTTTAACTGACTCACAAGCAATTAAATTAAGTAAAAAGCTATTCTAACCTGTTATTATTACCCAAATCATAATTTTTCTGCAATGTTTTATATATTATTGTTGTAAATTCAGCAAAAAATTACACAAACGAAAATTACTGACTTTACTTCGCTTTACTTAATTACTTTTTTAAATTTATTGAAAGAGCTAAAAAAGATTAAAAAATCTGTTTTTTTTTTTTTTTTTTTTTTTTTCTTTTTANATTTATTAAATTTTTTAACTGACTCACAAGCAATTAAATTAAGTAAAAAGCTATCCTAACATATTATTATTACCCAAATCATAATTTTTCTGCAATGTTTCATATATTAATGTTGTAAATTCAACAAAAAATTACACAAAAGAAAATCTTTACTGAACTTTTTTAAATTTATTGAAAGAGCTAAAAAAAGATTGAAAAATCTTTATTTTATTTATTTTTATTTATTTAATTTTTTTTTTTTTGCCTACATAATAAAAGAATTTAGACAGTAGACACTAAAATATTCAACACTCTTTATACAACAAATTTGGTTAATTGACAACATTCTGACGAAACAAATCTATGGCTTCATTAAAATATTCTAAAAAGAAATGTTTTATTGTTTTGTTATGTATTCATTTAAGTAAATTATCTACTCTAAAAAATTTATTATATTTTAAATATATACTCTGCAACTTGTGGATTGCTAGGCATCTTTAATCTTAATAGTAAGATCTTATAATCTCAACTTAGAATTTCTTGTTAATTTGAAGCTTTTTGTTTTATCTATTGATATTGTTCCAGATTAAATAATAACAATTTCAAGTTTTTGATGCAGCTTACTAAATTGAATAATTTTGTCAAGCCATTAATTTTTTTTATTTGACTTGTATTCTTGCTTGCAAGTTAACTATTTGTAATCAAATTATTAATTACATATTTATTTTATTCTTATCTAGCATCTAATGTAACATTCATGTTACTAACTTCTTTTTATTCCTAGAAAATTTTTACTTTTTTCAAGTGCATTGAAACTGACATGTTAACATATTATTGCAAAAATCTCCAACTCTAAATGTTTTAACTGTCACTCTTGGCATAAAAATAAGTTATTTATTTTAGTACCTAATTTTAACATCGTCTTGATTTTTCGGCTTTATTTTGTATTTTTGCTTTATGATGAATGCTATTTATGTTTAGTAATTTTATTTACAATTTCATGTTTGCATACTTCTTAAACATGTGTAAATTAACTGTGATTTGTTAGTCCAAGACAGCTAAAATTTAACTTTGAGCACTATAAAATAATTATCATTGAGCCCTGGACCAATAATCAATGATAAGGAGTGGTTTTCTCTTTTGGTTTTTTGATTATCATTTTCAAATTTAGTCTAACAAAATAGCATATTTCATCATAGTTAAGAAGATTGCACATTCTTTGTGTTATAATTTTTAATTCAAATTCACTTTATTAATTTTTTTCAATAAATATTTTAATCAAGACATGTAAACAAGCAAATGTGTAGGGACCAGTAATATCTTTTAGTCATTGGTTCACGTATCAGTGATTAAATTTTCTTAATTTCTACTCCTGATATTTGTAATTGTATAGTTTCTGTGTTTAATTATAATAATTTATTGCATCATACAATTTAAAGGAGTTTTTAGCAATAAGAGTTTGAAATTCAATAAATTTTGACACTGAATATTTCAGGGTGGTCACCCACCTGGTAAACCTTGAAAATCTGGAATTATCAGGGGATTTTTTTTATACTGAAAAAAAAACCTGGAAAAATCAAGGAAATTTGGACAAAAACCTGGAAAAATCAGGGATTTTTCTTTGATTTTTTCTCAATTTTACTAATTTAAATTATTTATTAATTTTCTTAATTAAAATTATTTTACCATCTGTTATACCCATTTTTAGATGAAAATTTATAGCTGAACATTTGAAATATTATCAACTTAGCAATACTTCACTTGCATCAAAATTAAGTCCATTATAACCCTGCTAAACTAAAATGCCACTGCAGGGTGGCCATCCACCTGGAAAACCTTGAAAACCTGGAATTATCAGGGGAATTTTTATACTGAAAAAAAAAAAAAAAACTGGAAAAATCAGGGATTTTTTTATTTGATTTTTCTTAACAAGCTTCATGAGCACCGGATCAGTATTGCATAAAAGTGGAGCCGGACGACCCAGCACAAGTCCAGAAAATGTGGAGCGAATACGGCCATGAGACGCATTGAGCTTTCTGTTGTGGTGTCCACATCCTCACTTAAAACTTTTCAGCCTATTGAAAAAAAAACTTTATTAGTTGCAGTAATACATGCAAAAGACAGAATATAAATATCTTGTTTATGTTCGAAGTTATGAATTTTTGAAGTTGTAAAGATAATTTTGGAACACCCTGTATATTTAAAAAAATCCAATGAAAAGTAATGTATGCACATTTTTCACGAAATTATTTTGAGATGTAATTCATGACTGTTAATTTTGTTTTATAACTAGCGTAGAATCTGGAAGACAAGAGAATTCCTAGACCTAGAAATTGGACAAATTAGACTTCATGATAGAAAAACCCGCATTTGCATTACACGAAGAGGAAAACATCGGAAACCTGCCACCGTTAGCCCGACGGTAAGGGCACTCCGATCCATGATAACGATACTTTACGTCAGTAATGTGGTCGGATTGAACCAAGAATAGAATTCAAATAGACCAGCCACCGCTAACTACGAATGTTAAATTGAATTATNTAGAATTGAAGGATTTGTTACGTCAAGCGCTCAGGTATCATAATTACTTGTTTTATTTTCTTCTATGTCATTTTGATTTATGTTGCTAAGTTAACTTTCAAAAAATTCTATGCCTGTCAACAGCATTTTTATTTAAGTTGTTTATTTTTATTTCTTTTAGAATTCGTAATTCTTTTAGCGAAATGTTTTTTAACCAAACAGAATTCTTTGCCGACTGTTTTCTCTATAAATGAAGAAAATAAAGTAAATATTTAAGTGTTGTGAAAAGAATCTTATTTAGTTCTACAAAGTACTTCATTAAAAATGAAAACTGTTGCCACCAGCGGAAAAGAAATACAGCCAAAATTTGGGAGCCACGTAGGAGAATTATATATAATAGATTTTACTAATTTAAATTATTTACTAATTTTCTTAATTAAAATTATCTTACCATCTGTTATACCCATTTTTAGACGAAAATTTATTGCCAAACAGTTGAAATGTTATCAACTTAGCAATACTTTGCTTGCATCAAAATTAAGTCTATTATAACCCTGTTAAACTAAAATGCCACTGGAAATTCCCATGGTTTCTTAAAGAATAGAGAACCTTTCCAGGTCACCTCATCCCCATGACTTGACCTGGCTAGCTCTCTATCCCCTCAGTCAAAGATGATAAAATAACATTTTAAATAAAATACTGTATAATATTGACACTTTTCTTGTACCCATTCTACACTTTATGTGAAAAAAAAGCACTTTGACCTGGAAATTTTAGGATTTTTACCTGGAAAAATCAAGGAAATTTAAAACCTGATTTTATTTCTGTATTTTATTTCTAACCCTGTATTTTATTTCTGACATATTTTTTTTTTATTTTACAAATTGCATCTGATAGGAAGAAGGATGTGTCAGGATTTGATGAGACTTATTGGGAGACTTCTTTTGGAGTGAGGCAATTACCAAGAAGTGAGAACTTTTTTATGAAACCTTTCATAACTGATATGCTGAGTGCAGGAAAGTCACTAGAAATATTGAACAAAATCAACTCATCACTGAAAATAGAACCTTTCCGACTGGATGCTGAGAAAGGTAAATATTTCCATATGTCAAATGAATTTGTTTTCTTAACAAACAAATTACTTTTCTCAAATAAATTTAATCAGTTTTAGAAAATTCAGTCAAATGAGTTTGTATCAGTTTTCGTAATAAACGAATTGCTTTATTTTTAAACAGATTGAATCATTTTGATTTTAGTTTTATGTTACACGACTTAGGTGACGAAAAAAAAAAAGTCATAACCAAGCAACAATCATCAAATAGACTCTCAATAGAAATAGATCTTTTACTAATTTTGCGAAATCAGGATGTTACTGTAATGCTGTAACTTTCTGAAAAATTACAAAAGTTTTCACTTATGTATATTTTAACTCTAAACATACTATAACCAATCAAATACCAGTTATTTTATGTTGTATTGCATTGTATTATAAAGTGTTCATATGTTTAATGTTATAAAAAATTATTTCCATGAAGCTATGCTGATTTGTTCATGTGAAATTTGCTACAAAAGGGAAAAAAATATATTCAATAATTTTACAATGTAAGTATTTGGCAAAATTCTTTTGTAATTTTGCAAATTAAATAAAAAAAATAATAAAATGGGATTAAACTTTTTTAATTAGTTCAATTTTTAATAATTGTACCTGAAATTTCTCTGGTTGTTACTAATCAAGTCTTGATATTGTTTAATCAAATTGTGTAATAATGTCGCAAAAAGATATTAAGGATATATTTTTTCACCAACTTAATCTGAAATTTGATATTGTTTTAATTTTTTTCTTGAAGAATTGTATCTTAAATTTATTTTAAGGTTGATAATGTCTTCACTTTGTTTAATCACATTTGATATTTTAGAAACATTACAGTAATTTTTTGTTCTTTTCAAAAAAGTCAAATTTTACATTAGTTCAATTTTTCATTAGGTGAATTGTACTTGAAATTTATCCAGATTTTACAAAGGCTGTTATCTCCAAAGCGTGGTTCAGAAAGATCGTTGAAGAGAGTTGAGCAGAAAGAAATTGAGTCAGACATGACTCCTCAGGAAGATCCTATGCTAACTCAGCAACTTTTCCCTTTTTGTAGTGAGACAGCAAAATTCTTCCAGCCTGATGTTAATCCAGTGTATAAACCTGTTTCCCAAAAACCAGTTAAAAGTTTATTTACATGGCAGCAAGAGTTAATTGAAAAGTAACTAGAACTATTTTATTATTATTTCTTAGTGTGAGTTATGCATTGTATTCTTATTGTATTAGTTATATATTTTATTCTTGATGTATTAGTTATGGTATGACTTTTATACTATAAATAACACATGATATTCTCTATAAAAGAGCAAATTTTTTTATTAAATTCTGTGTAAGCTTTGTTTAGCAACAAAAAAATGCTATATTAAAACATACAGTACAATGAATTCTTATTGTATTAGTTTCGGTGTTTTCTTGCATGACTCGTGATAACAAAAGACCAAAATTTATTTATTTAGCATATATTTTTGTTAAATACTAAGTGAACTTTGTTTATCAACGACTAGTGAATGGGAACACTTAAAAATACAAAAATAAATAAATAAATAAATTCCTCCCCAAACGTAATAGCTAAGTTTATGCCTCCTTAACAGAAATAAAAATAAATTAAATATATTAAAAAAAAGTGAAGAAAATTGAGGTTACTATGATAGAAAAACTAAACTGGAAAAATGTATTCAAAAGGGTGTATCAATTATCAAGAGAACGGGGTTATATAAATCTTATTATAGTAGCAATCAATTGTTTTGTATAGGATCTTCCATTGTGAATGATAAATAGGACAAAACCAATTTGGATATGGCTAAATGATTAGTGCAAAATATCATTCAATTAAAATAATGCATTATTACAATTTGCAATTAATATTGTATATAAAAAATGTAGGCTGAAAAAAACATAATATATTTACTGCAAAAAATCTATTAAGCAAAAGAAATATTCATAAACTCATTTATTTACTTATTATTTAAAAATTTTGATTTGCATAATTTTCAACATCTGCTTTTTTTTAAATTCAGTTAATTTTTGTGAAAAACGTCCCTTACTTATCGATTTAAAACTATGAAATGCTTCTGTAAATGTTGGAATCAGGACTGGATTAATTTGGTTTTCTTTAATCTATTCCATTTCTTTTTTCTAAAAATATTTATTGAATAGAAAACAAACCTCTTATCACAATTCAGTCATAATCTAGCCACGTTTAATCCTTCTCCAGCTACTGAAACAACTCTTCATATTTATGTACCTCCAATATTATAATTAGAACACAACATTTTCCTCTTAAAAACATAATGGCGTGATTTTTAAGAGGTTACTAATGTTATGAACAATTGAAGCACGATTCTGCTAGTTTTAAAAATGATTTAAACTTGTATTATACATGAATAGCAAAGTATATACTTGTATTATACTTTGAATAGCATTTGTGATGGAACTTAAAAAAGAAGATGATTCTTGCGGGTAAACTAAAAATGTGAGAATGATGAATCTATATATTATTTTGTATTTGATAATGTAGAATCTTAAAAAGTAAGAAAGCCAACTATACATCGGCTACCTTTTTCTAAATGTACAAATCTTTATGTGATAAATCTTTAATGTAAAAAATCTTTATGTGTGACAAATTTATGTTATACTATTTGTGGTAATATTATCTTTTCTATGCATATTATTGTATGTGTTACAGGCTATGTTTAACTTAGATTTTATTAACCCTTTTAGAGTAATTGAAAGCCTGAATTCACATAGCTTAAAGCCTGTAACACTGAGTATTACAAAAGCTCTAAGACTTTGTATGGTTCATTCTTATAACCCCATCTGTAAAAGATTGATAAAAGCCTTTAAAGAAGATTTCGAAATTATCAAGCACATGACGGTGATGAGGGTAAGTAAATGGGTTTTCTCACATAAATAAAGAAATACTTATTCTAAAAGAAATATGTTAATAAGTTTAACTTTTAAATTTTGCACAATTTACAAACTATTGAGGTAAAATAATTTGTAACCCTAAAAGTATCTTGATGTTGTTTTATTTTATTCAAATGCAAAATTTAAAAATGGTACCAAAAATATTCCATTAACAGAATTGTTTGCTTTGAGTAAAGTAGTATGCTAGAGAGTTGTTTTTTAATTGTCTCTAGGTAGTATTAATGCGGGAGTGCCTATGTGTATCTTATTTTATTCAACTATAAAATTTAAAAGTTAAAGAACAATTTAAAATCTTTCATTAACAAAATTGGGAGTGTTTTTTTGTCTTAGGGATTCTTCCTATGTTTACTTTACCATAGAAATGATTTTGTATGTTGTTGGGTCATGATTACCTCCTGTATCCTTTCAATGGAATCAGCAAAACAAATCGTGTGTGGGAGGGACTGGTTCAATTATTTGACAGCAGCTTGTTATTTGCTCCAATGAGGATGCTTTTCCATTTGATATTTCGCATTTATGTTGGGCATCAAGAAACAGGGTGGCTGCAGAACAAGGAAAAGTAAGGAAATTTTATCAATCTAAGAAAAATCATGGAAATATCAAGCACAAGTTAGTCACACAGAAGGGAGAACAGGGAAAAATCAGAGAATTAGATCAATTTGAAAGAAATCTAGAAAATGTCAGGGAGGATTGTTTAACTAAAGCACCCCTAATAACCGATGAAATTTAATTTATATGAGCTTTGAAGTACCCAAAAATCTGATTTTTTCAAAAAAAAAAAAAAAAAAAAAAAAAAATAAGGGCTATTGACTCTTAAATGCTTAATGCTCTTTAAAATGCTGCCTGTAAGCTTTCCTTCTTCAAGTGTCATTAGAAATAACAACTGTTGTTTAAGTGGTTTTAGTTTTCCTAACTATTTATTCAGCTATAAAATTTAAGAATACATTTTCCATTTTTAAAATGTTCCATTTAACAAATATTGCTTGCTCAAAATGCATAAAAGAATTGCTTGTTAAGTAAGTCTATGGGGTATTAGTGTTTAGTGTGTGTAGGTGTGTCTTATTTTGTTTAATTATGAAAGTTAAGAATTAAAAAACAATTCCAATTACGTTTCTTTGCCAAATATTTTTGTTGAAGACATAACTGAAAGAATCGCTTTCATTATTTTTTGCTAATTGAAGTCTTATTTTTTTACAAAATTCCAAGCATCAAGATAATTTTTTTTTCTTACAAATTATCATACAACTTTAATTTGTAAATTATGCAAAAAATTTTAAGTTTTTTCCTTGGAAAATTGGCTTGCAATTTTTTTTTATAATCAATTGAGGGAAACAACCTTAAAATTTATTATCTAGTATTTATAATTAATGTATTTAAATGTCATTTCTGTTTTATTTTCAGAAATATTTTCTTATGGAATCTGGTGATGTTATGTATAACTTTTATTCTGAGATATTCTGGAAGGTAATTTTTATTCCTTTACTTATATTCCATTTTATTTACTAAAAGCTATGAAAATATTGTTTATAAGGAATGTTAATATAATATAGTTAATATAAATGTAGCTTGTCCTTGTGACAGTTTATTAGTTGCTGCTCCATAATTTATTTCTTCAAATTTCAAACTACTAAACTGAAAAAATTTACAGATAAGAAATTTATTGTTTTTTACATTCTGAAATTAATTAATGAATGTAGTTTTTTTGTAAACACATTTAGCATGTTTAGACTATCTTTTATTAGGTACTTATTCAGATGAGGATTAAAGTTAAATATTTATTTTTGTCTCTTATCGGCCAAATTACTTTTTAATTTTGTAACAGTAAAACAAACAGTAATTTGCAAAGGTATTTTATCAAATATAGTGACATGTTTTATATTTATTATAAAACTATATGTTTATTTTTGTATATGTTTCTATTTCTTCTTTTGAATTAACTTGTTATTTTTACTATTTTTTTTAGATTTTCAAAAATCAAAATTGGCAAGATATTGCTTCATTGTGCAGTGCCCTTGAAAATGCTATTTTGGAAAATAAAGACAACTGCAAAAAGTAAAATAGTTTTAATTCAACTGTTATTTAAAAGTTTTTTTTAGATTTTATGTCTTAGTTTTTTTGCATGGTTCATATTTTTAAATGTATTTCTGTGTGAAATGTAAGTTTTAATTTCTGTTTTTGTCTTTGAAATTATACAAGCTAGTAATTTTTGAAACCCTGTTTTTCTATTGATATTTCTATTGCTGAACTTTTTTTATTGTTGTTTTCCCTAATGTTTCTAAAGTTATATTTTAGTTATATGTGTAAAAGATACTTTCTGTCATTGTATCAATGTGTAGCTAAAGCAGCAGAGTACCGTATTTTTCGGTGAAAGCGCCGCTTCGTCGTAAGCGGCGCACATCGATAAAATTGAAATTTTTAAAAAAAAAGTTATTGTAAGCGCCGCAATGGCGCTAAACCGNATTACAATAATGTGTTTAGCATAAAAGAATGGGACTGGTGTTTTGTTAATTAAGTAGAAAAAACACAATAATTTCAAAACAAAACATATAAAATATAAAAATATAGAAAAGGTTGTGAGAGAAGGAGATGTATATTTCTTGTGATAAATTATTTAAAAATATATTTCCTTAATTAAATTGCCAAGTTATAAAATATAAGATTAAAGCATAATCAAAGGTAGTGGAAATTTTTTTAAAGGTATGTTCATTCTGAATTAAGAACTGATCTGATTGGTTTGTTTTAGTTAGATATGCTCTTGGCTTCAACTTTATTAAACTGGATAACTCACAAACTGTATTTATCGAAATTCGTAATTTAAGCGTAACTTTTAATCCTATGATTTTTTAATTGGATTTTTTAAAACTACTTTCACTGAAAATTTACCTGGATATGGTTGTCAGAGATTCGCTCAAATTAAATTTGCACGTGACAATGTCTAGATAACTCAAAATTTTTACAAATTCCATTGTATTCAATTTCTTAATATTCTATATAATATTTTTAATTCAATGATTTTATACATTTATTACACTTGAGGGATAATAACTGTTTTTAATCAAATTTGGGAAATGTTGGTCATTATCTTTTAGATAAAATAAATATTTCTACAAGTTCTTTTAATTTGACCAAAAATAGCATTTATGTATAATGTTTTTAGAATTATTAGAATTCCATGCACTTATTTTAATTATATTAAAGTAAAAGTTTTATCTTTTATTGTTTAGTTGAATTAAGTAGATTTTATCTTTTTCATTATAATTAAATTCAAATAATTTATTTTAGATAAAATTAATTAAAAATATTTTAAACCTTTTGTGAATTATCTTTTAATTTATTGTTTTCTTCATCGAAACTATTTTTATCTATTTCAAATTATTAATTTTAAGAATTGAAAATATTTCTTATTGTTAGTTTTTGAGTTCTTTTTATTTTTTTTCTTCAATTTATTATTTTCGTTATTTCATCGTATTAAGGGTTGTATGTACTTTGCAGTTTATACAAATTCTTTAAAACTTTTCTTAATTTTTCAATTTTAATTATGTAGATATAAAATGAGGAAAGAGTGCATTGAAACCTTTTAAAAACTAATAAGCGATTACAAAGAAAGCATTTCGTGTTTTTCACATTTTGGACATGTCTGTAATTTCTTTTCTGTTTTTTTTAAGGTTTTTATAACAGTATCTTCTCGTTAGTAGTCACAAAAATGGCAATACAAGTAAAGGTCTAGTGTTAAAATTTTTTTAAGCTGAAAATATTATTCCAACTCAATTTTAAATTTTTTTTACATTAAGGATTATTTTGTGATAAGAAAATGGGTGTTACTATTTAAGAATTTCGCCACTGAAACTGTAATCGTGAGAACCAATCATTTTTAACACCATTCTCGAGTGCATAGATAATAGTAGCTATGTACAAAATTTTATTACTGTCACCCAAACGGTGTGCTCTCCATAGATACATATGTCAGCAAAGTTACTTTTTAATCACCCTGTAGGAATGTATGTATATTAATATGTAATAGAATTGTAAAATTGTATGTAATATTAAAAGCTGTAACAAATCTTTTTTATATTATTTCTTAATCTAAATTCAAGATTTAAAACGAAGTCTGTTTCCATAACTAGTGTTTGTACACATAGAAATTGTATCACATGACTAAAAAGCCATGCTCAGAGAATATTCCATACTTTTAACATTTCTTGTTTCTCTGACGCTGACTTTTAGCACTGAAATACTTCTTAGCCAGCCCTTGTTTATTTTCAATATTTGTAACTGCATTTTTATAGTATTTTTCGTTTCATGTTTTCTCTAATAAAAATGCCTTTAATAGCCTCTATCATTTCTTCACAGCAATAATAAAAGCAGCACGATGCTTATTATTACGAAAAACTGCTTATTATTACTAGATTAAGAAAAATGCTATGCCGAATGATTCTATGTTTGGGGAAAAACAGATAATCTCTTCTTCAAATCAAGGTCATATAATGTCTTCAACACTTTTGAAACACAAGATTTAAAAGATGAAACTTACCTATCAGCCTTAAATATTTGTTTGGTATAAATTTATGCATATTATATGCACATGTATCATAACATTATATTTTATTTATATATTTTTTCAGACTTGACATACTTTTAATAGATGCTCCTGATAGAATTCCTCAGCATTCTCTAAGCCACCTTAGCCTGTTGAAACTTTCTTACAATGTAATTTTTCTTTTATCATCTTTCCTTTAATGAATGACTTCATTGTTTTCAAGAATTGAATTTATTAACAAGCATTTATCATTTATCTTAGGATACGTATCTTAGTATAATTAAATTTATTTATACAAGTATTAACAATTTATCGTAGGATATGTGATTTTAAGAGAACTTGAATATAAATTTAGTCATATTCTACTTTCATTGAAAAATCCTTAAAATCAAAAGCTCATTTTTAATTTGAAGCAATATAGAACTTTTATTATTAAAAAATTTTTTAACTTGATTAAATATTTTTAATCCTGTTTATTCATTTAAAAAAATGATTATTAGTTTTTTATTAATAAAAAAAATTCCTTTTTTCTTTCTTTTTTTTGAATTTATTAAATATAAAAAGAAAGTTACCAAAAAACCTGCATTTCAAGTATTTTAAAATTTAACTTTCTTATAAAGTTTAAAATATTCAGTTCTTTCTTAAAATATTCAGTTTTTTTTAAATCAATCCAACTGTGTTCAAATTGTTTCCAATTTTGTAAAATGATTTTTAAAGTAATAATTGCTCTACACATATATATTCTTTAATACTAGTGACAGAAAGTTTCAGAAAAGATTTTATACTACATATTTTGTTACCTACGATAATTTAATTTCAAATTCTGTTGATATTATTAGATTTATTTTTCAATTTCAGGTTAAATGGCCCATAACAATGATATTGGGAAGTAGTGTTCAGGCAGAATATAATCAAATATTTAACTTCTTGCTTCAAATTAAATGTGCCAAATTTTTGTTAGATAACTTATATTCATTAAGTAAGTTGATGTTTTTTTAAGTTAATTTTTGCTTTGCTCAAATGTATATTCTTTGCTTACTTTTCCATTTTGTTTTTGTCTGTGTTAAACCTTTGTTGAAAATTTTATGAATTTTTTTCTCTTTTAACACCAATTCTGTTATGTACAGTGTTTGTATTTTTATGCATAGCAGGCAAAAAAAGAAGAAAAAACTGAAAAACTCTTGATTTTTAAATTTTTAACTACATAACGCTAACTGACAAAATACAAAGCCTATTAGAACCTTCCAGAAAGTTTCTGACTGCTACCATTCAAATTCAAAATTTTGTCATATTTAAAATTATTTTAAAATTTTTATTTCTAAAACTCTTTAAATTACCTACAAAAATCACAATTGAAAGCCCCGATTTGACTACTAATCTTATAAGGCTTTGAGTGTTAACAAATTAGTATAAAATAAATTGATGTTATTAGAAAAAAGAATTTTTAGACAGAGGTGAATTGCTGTATCTGTATTTTATTCAATACATATCACCTAGTTTCATCTCATTATTGCAAGCTATGCTAGCTTACATTCGTGGTTAGGTACAGGATTATTCTGATTCTGAAAAAAATCCTTTAAATATTTGTAAGTATCTTGAAAATTGGCATTTAAAATTTTTTAAAATTTATTTGCCACAAAATCTTTGATGGATCCTGTTAATTTTTTTAAAAATTAAGTAAAAAAATGTTTTTTCTCCAGTTAAATAATTCCTTCCTTATTTGGACCAAAAGCCATGAAGCAGATTCATTTTAGTGAGAAAAGGTTGGCAAATTAGTGTTTTTTTGGTTCCACCATTGTTTTACATGAGTTAACGTATAAATAAGTGAAATTAAATTTAAAATATGAATGGAGTAATTGCTTCATGAGCAATATCACAGACTGCCACCCTCTAGATTGCTTGATGTTGAATTCTAAATATTGGTATAACGAATTTTCGTTATTCCATGGGGATTATTTCGGCCCCTTGAAATTCGGTAAAATGGAATTCAACTGTATTTTCATTTGACTATGAAGCATTCAATGTTAATTCACTACTGTGTTCCTTTGCAATACCTTACTTACTGTAATACCTTCTTACTGTAATACCTTTGATCAAATTAAACTACATTTTTCAAGATAAAACGTGAAAGAATCTGAACAGCATTTGCCCTATAATGAATGAATTTTTGAGTAATAAGTTATCTTCATAACTTGGGGGGGGGTTATAATATATTCTAAATAATTACTTTTAATTAAATTATGAAATTTGACAAAAAAGCACCTATGAAAACTTCTTTAAATGCTGGTTTGGTTTAGCATTTAATTAATTTTATGTTACTCATATTATTAGTTTATTTACTTATTGTGGAAGAACTCTAATGCTAATTATATGAATGTAAAAAATTTTGCAAAAATGGACGCATTTATAAAACTCATTGCTCACTATATTATAAATAATTTGATTTATTACAGACTATAATAACTGTTTGTTGCTTTTTTCCATATATATTTTTAATTATAGATTTATTTAGATTTTTAAATTACAGTGTACAGTTTTTTTTGCATATTTTTATTCGCAATTTTGATACTTTTTTTAAAAGTAAATTGGATCATTGGTTTGCCATATGGCATTGGTCTATTGAAAGAATGTGGTTTGGTATTTGATTTTTTTTTTAAAACCATTTGCAAGTTGAGAACTTACTTGCATGAGATGCCTCTGCCATTTCTGTTTAAAAAAAGTCAGTAATTTTTCAATAATGTCACTTATGACGACAATGATTTTACAAAAATGAGAACTTAAGACGACAATCATTTTACAAAAATGTCACTTACAATGACAATCATTGCACCGAGTCTGTTAAAATCTAGAAAATTTTCATTTAATTATGAAGCGTAATTTGATAATTCTAAATGGGTGCTTATTTTTGATTTTCGTTTTTTAAAAGCCCTTAAAGGTGCTTTTTTCATTGGAAATTTTTAAATAGTGCTTAATTTTCCCTTTTCTAAATGAGATTTTTTTCTTTGCCGTGTCAATTTTCGCCACGTATCATGCAAAACCGTGTTTTTCACATTGTTCTATTCAACGTTTTCACAATTCATTCAACCACAATCTCTTTTGGCATACCTTCAGTACGCAGCGTATGAAAGCACCAATCATTTTGCATGTTTGATTAAATGCTTGCAAGTCCGCATGTGTGCCTACTGAGCTGGGTTCTTTGAGATTCTTGCACTCTCATGTTCAACATGGGTGCAAGTCTTCCGTCCCCAGTACGGATTTCCATCTTTCGAAAATGTCCGCGGACGGAAACAAGACTGACTCGAAGACGGAAATCGGAAATTTCTTTTTCTGTCCTTAAAAATGTTTTTTAGGTCTACGTTATTGGTCTACTTTCTTATGTCCTGTTGTTATTTTATCAAAAGACAGATGAATAAGTATTTTTTGTACAGTATTTAAACTTGATATATTATGGTAAAGCTTTCTTAAATAGTTTGCATATGTTGAGGGGGTATTGTGTATGTTAGGTATTTCAGTCAAAAATTTTCAGTCTTGGCCTTTTTTCCAACTTGCACCCATGATGTGCAATTCTGCTGCATTTTGCAAGATGTTCTCGATTTCAGGCTTCATTTCCACCGTCTAATATTAAACTAAAAACTATGTTAATCATTTTACAATGGCTAATATAATCCAGAAAAGTGTTCTTTGTTGGAAACTAGTTATTTTATCATGATCATGTAAAGTATTTGAAATTTATTTTGCATTTTGTTAATGCATATAGTGCTTAAAAATATTTTTTGAGTGCTTAAAAAGTACTTAAGTGCTTATTTTTTGTTGAGAGATTTGGCTACGCACCCTGGGTAAGTAAGTTAATGCAGAAGCTATTGTATTGTTATTTTTGTTTGTCATATTTACATTTAATTTGTGTTTAAAGTTTTTTTTCTTTTGTGTGTTCACCAATATTTATATATTTTTTTCAAGGTCTGAGTGGACCAGAAAAGATGACTCGATTGATGAAAGCATTTTTAAGGAGTACTCTCCCTAGAGAACAAAAGATGCATGGAATGCACATAATAAGGATGAAACTGATGTTCTTTGTCAATGGTTTACATAACTACATTATGACTGGGGTAAAATGATTGTTATTTAATTAAACATTTTTGTTATTTTTTATAATAACTATCAAGTTAAAATGTAGAAAATTTTGTAAAATAATTAAATAAAGATTTCTTTAATGAGAACCATTTGATTTTTTTTTAAATCCAAATTTTTTTTTAAAATTTGTTGAATAACAAAAATAAATTAATATTATAATTATTGAATTTTTTTCCTTTCGCAATTTTTTTTTTTAATTTAATTTTTTCTTTTTTCTTTTGTTTCACATACTAACAAATATTTAATGGGAAATTAAGTTGTATTAGTTTTAAAAATAGTTCTATTTAAATATAGATTCTTCATAGTTCAGGAATTGAACTACACAATGCTCTGCAGCGATCTGAAAGTCTTGAAGAAATGATTCAGATTCACAAAAGACACTTTAAAACACTCATTGAAAGATGTCTTTTAACACGTCGAATTGCATACATCAAGGATCACATATTTGAAGTTTTAAACCTCTGTTACGTTTTCCAACAACTTTGGTTAAAAGGAGTAGATAATGTGAAGTAAGTAATTTTTAAATTCATATTTTTCTAATCTATCTATATAAAAGACAAATTGTTGAATAATGCACAAATAATGCCACATAAACAGACATTAGTTGTGATTCATTTGCGTTGTTTAGTTTTTTTCCTATACTGAGAGATACTGATCTGTGGTTAAAAGGAGGTTTTCACTTATCTTGAGGATTGAGAATTCCGTAGCAACCAGAGCTCAATCTCATAATTTTTGCAGGCTGTCCATGTTGGTCTTCAAAATCCATTATTCATTAAAAAAATGATAGCAACATTATATCAAAACTTTTATTTTTAACTATAAACTAAAGTATACAGTATAATTGACCAAAAGTAGTAGGTATTATTAACAGGAAAATATTAAGTATTGTGGGGTAAATTCAGAGCATTATTATAAAACTATTATCAAATTTATTAAGTATTACCATACTATCAGCAATGGCATGCCCATTTAACATCTATTTTAAAATAATGTATAATGTAATGTATAATACATTTTTTTAATTTCCAATGCATAGCAATTGAATTAAGCTCTTTTTTTCTATTAATAAAAATGACCATAACAGGGGGGTATGCACGTGCTTTATTTAATAAATTCTTATTTTTGCAATTAAATTCAATATTATTTAGGCCACAGTAATATTAGGTATAATATTCTATTATATTAGATCAAGCATAATAATATTTTTTTGCCTTATTTAAAATGCTGAATCTCTATTCTTAGCACAAAGTTTGCCCTTTCTTCAGTATTATGTCTCACATTTAAACACTAACTGTTATTATACTTTCTGTTTGTACAAATATGCAGGCATGGTAACAGCACCAAAAAGGGTGATAGCAAACTTGCAATAAACGTAAAAAAAATTAAAAAATTCTTCATTGGGTTTAAATTAAATAGGATTTATTAAAAAACGCCACCTGACTGTTATTTAACCTTGATTAGAAATTTTTTTCTTTTTTATTACCTAAGTCTGTCTAATTACTATTTTGGAAGAAGGAAAATTGGAAAAATAAGAGTTCCTTAGGTTGTAATGAAGATCTTCATAGTGAAAAATTAAACTCTTATTGCATAAATTTGTTTTATTATTTTATGTTATTTTATTATCTTCTTCATAGTGAAAAATTAAACTCTTATTGCATAAATTTGTTTTACTATTTTATGTTATTTTATTATTATTTGTTATAGTGTATTTCAAAAAGTAAATTTAAATTGTGTTAGCAAAATGTTTTTATATTCAATAAATAATAATTTAAGCAAGTATAAGTCTTGGCAAAATTGGGAAGAGGAAGGAGGAAAATATGAAAATAAGGCTTCCTCAGGTTGTAATTAAGATCTTCTTCATAGTGAAAAATTAAACTTTTATTGCATAAATTTGTTTAGGAATTATTTTATGTTATTTTATTATTTTATTTTATTTTATTATTATTTGTTATAGTGTATTTCAAAAAATAAATTTAAATTATGTTAGCAAAATTTTTTTATATTCAATAAATAATAATTTAAGCAAGTATAAGTTTTTTCAAAATTGGGAAGAGGAGGGAGAAAATATTAAAATAAGGCTTCCTCAGGTTGTAATTAAGATCTTGATTAGGAAAATTGTAGCTTTTGGTATCAATATTAATGCATATATGCAACCTTTTTTTTAAATTTACACTCATTAATTTTTATTAAAAGATATCTAAGAAATATTTTAATTTGTATTATTAAAATGTATTTCAGAGCAATAAATTTAAATTATGCAAACAGAATGTATTTTCATTTATTAATAAATATACATTCTAAACCAAACAATAATATAATTGGCTGTACAAAAGTAGGGATTGGCTAAAAAGTTGGATGAAAAGTTCAAAACAAAACTTAGTAAGATTACCTAGTTCTTGATAACATTTGTGAATGATATAATGTGAATTGTCATTTTATTTGCCTGTTAAGGAACTCAAATATTTATAGATATGTGTATTCTTTAATCTATTAATTATCTTTTCCTTGTAGTCAGAAGTGTTCCTTTTTAACCCGTTTACTTCCAGTTTTTCTTTTAAAAAAATTAGGACTTTAGCAGATCAAATGAAGTAAAACTAGCAATATTCTTCCAAAATAAAAGAAAGAATTAACTATAACGGTTTTCTGGAGTTGATAAATGTGTCCGCTTGTCTCTTTAGATGGGATGCATATGTTCCTATAGTCTTAAAAAACATGTGTCCTGGTGGGGCCAAAAAGTTAACTCATTCGACAAAAGGTATATTTTTTTACATAAAATTGTTTTACCAATTTCAATAATTCAATTTAGAGAGAAAATAAATACATTTAAGAAATAAATTGATTAACAATTCCCATTGAACCTTAGATTTATATTTCTAAGAGTTGTTTTGTCATAGTTAAAGACTTCTGAATGCAACCATTTTTATTTCTTTTTAGTGTTGAAGATCTAAGGAACATAGAACAGAAATTTAGTAAAATAAACAACATTTTGACCTGTTGTTTGAATAAGCCTCTACGAAGAGGGACAAACTTAGACTGTGAGTATTTTTTGATGATTTTAAATTTTATAATTATTGATGACATTTGTGCAATTCAGACACATAGATTTTTAACTTCAAAGAAAGTTTTTGGAATTGTCTTCTTTAACCTTTTTTTATAACACAAGTGGAGAATAAAATCACCTAAAACCATATTTTTTTTTTAAGCAGTGAAGCTTAAAATTATTTCCTGGTAAGAGGATGATGCATTCCAGTTGCACTGAACTACAGACTATATCAATTCCTACTTCACTCTCTCCCACCTCAAATGAGTGGTCAGAATTTGGAAACAGCTTTTTTTCCACAGAAAATTATTTATTTTAAGCTTCTGAAATGCATTTTTTAAACTTTATTTTTAAGCGAATTCCAAAGATTCATTTGTTTTAGATTAACAAAGATTAACACAATTTGTTTTACTTATGAACAAAAATAATGATGTTATCAAATATGTTCAACAAATTAATTTATTGCTACGGATTCCGAGAGTAAAATAAAAATTTCTAAGGTTTTGGTTGTTTTAAAATTAACATGATTTAAAACTCCTTTTTATATGCAAATATTGAATTTTGATTTCGGTTTTGGTTTCTGAATATTTTCAACGTTCACTATTTCAATGAATTTTGTTACATTTTCCTGCATTTTAGGATTTTATACACTTTAACTAAAATGTAATGCATTTAAAAAATATATTTTCTTACATTTTTTTTTGTTGTTTCGTACTTGTACTTTTTACTTGTTATTTTTTATAATCAAAACTTTTTATTTTTTACTTCATTACTTTTGTTTTAAGTAGTTGTAGTTTTACTTGTCACTTTTTGAAGTAACCTTCCCATGTATGATGTAAATACTATACTTCAATTGTAAAAATATTCTTAAAATGAAGTGTAAAAATTAACTTTGAATTTGGTTTTAACCCTCCAGAGAATGAGAGGTTGTAATTTAACTATTCATTACCACAAGAAAAGACGATTTTCTATGCAGAAAAAGCTGCAGCTAAAAAGGCCATTTCTTTCTTTTTTTGTGCTGAATTGTCAGTGGTTGAATTATGTCAAGTAGTAGAAAAATATATTTCATTTCTTTAGTTTACATTCTTAATTTTTTTTTCACTTGGTAAAATATGAAATTAAGGTTATTTTCTTTTTAGTTGAAACTCTTGGACACATGATGCTATCTAGTTCTCATTCATTGCATTTCTTTGGTGAAGAAAACTGTTATTAATGTTAATGCTACTCCCAAGATGATGGTTTGTAGGAATTTGTTTTTGTCTTTCAGCTTTATAATGAGTTACAAGAATTGTTAATATTCAAAATACTTTGGTTTTCAAAATTTTTAATCGGTACCAAATAGCTTATATAACTACAAAAGTGTTTTGTAAATTTTATGTATATCTAATTAAACATTCAATTGTTATAAACACTTACAATTTTTGCGAAAATGTTTAATTTTGGTGACTTTCAAAAACTGAAATAATACTCCTTAAAACGTAAAAAAAGTTTAACATGTGCAATAAGTCCCCCCCCCCCCCTTAAGTGTGGCCTATAATTTATAAAATGTTTAAAATATTAATTCTACTTAAAAAAGTTTTTGTTCTCATTATAACAAAGCCTCCATTGTGTATATTGTACAAATTTATGTTAGAAAATTATGTTACAAAATTATGTTAGAAAAAACTATACAAGTAAATTATGTAAAGCACATATAAAAGTATTTAATAAAAGCTTCTTTCTGTGCATGATTTTGTTTTGTTTTTTCTACTTTTTAAACCATGTATTTTCTCTCTAGTAATACTCTATGAAGTATGAAACATTTGTTAGTTAATTTTAATTCTTCCAAATTTCTTAAGGAAAATGGAAATGTATTTTTCCTGTATGTTTATATTAAGAAACTACAATTAAGGTATCCACAATTTCTTAGTTTGGCTGATATTTAAACAGTATAAACTTATATCAATTTAAACATATGTTTGCTTGTGTAGTTTAAGTTAGAATACTGATTTAAATATTTTTTTCTCAAGCTTTTTAGTATCGCTGATGCTTTCTTTTTATACTGGGCACAGCTTGAAATGGTGTATTTAAGAAAATGGACATAGCTATATAAATAAATATATGTAGCCTTTAATTCTGTTTTTCAAACTTCATCCATGAAAATTGCTCTTTTTTTAAAAAAAAAAGTATACTATTGAACTATTGAATCTATATAAATGTGTGATGTCTATTTACCTAAATAATTTATTACTTTTTTTAAAATTAGTCTTTTTCGAAAAGATAATAAAAGTAATCAATTATTTACAATGGTTCAGGGCTTCCACCAGTCAAGGAAAACCTGTAATTGTCAGGGAATTTTATTTTAACTCCAAAAGTCAGGGAATAGTCAAGGAAAGTTTTTACAAATTCCTGGAAAATTCCAGTAGCATACATGGAAAATAACCAGTCTTAGAATTGTAAGTAACAGTAATCAGTTATTGAGATTCTTGTTAAATAATTATAGCATCTATTGCAATTATTTGTTGTAAAAAGTTCACATTTTAGTCAAATTTGCATGTTCAATCCATGATCAATGATTTTTTTATATCATAAATCTAATACTTTGCATTATGAATAAAAAAAATCAGTTTTCTGATGAAAAATTGCGTGGTATTGATAAAATATGGTCTGAATTTTCATTGAAATTTACCTGATATATATACCCGAAAAAGTCAGGAATTTTTTTTTCGGAAATTGAGTGGGAACCCTATGGGTCCTGTAAATTTATAATAGTGGTTTTAAATTAACGTTATATGAATTTAGAATTGTTTAAAACCCTTTTATAGTTTAGTGTTATGAATTTAAAGAGATATCTGAATAATTATGTCTGTAATATACTCAGAAACCGAAGTCAATGACTTTGCCCCTTAATGATTATGTTACATGTTTAAAAAGGCATGTCCATTGTAAATAATGTCCAAGTAATTAATGTTCATTGCAAATGTTTGATTTGATTTTGCAGTCAAAGTTGAAAAAATATTCCACTACGTTAGCATTTTTGACTTACGAATTATTGCGAAATCTCTTGTTTTCACTTTCGTAAATCTGATATTTTTTTGCATTTCACTTGAATTAACGCAGGCGCTCTAAGAGAGCGCATACGCAATCATTTAAAATCTTATGTAAGAGTACGGAAGCTAATGCAAATTTGTGAAATCTCCTTAGTTAAATTTTTTTTCACCCTGTTAGGAGAATGGTTATTCAACTAGTGAGGAAATAAAATGTAAAGTTATGTAAGAAATGAAGAGTCAAGTCAAATTTTAAAAATTATTTTATACAATTATAATTTAAGTTTATTGTACATTTTGTTATATTTATTAATTTACAATTTAAGTAATAAATACCCACCACACATGTAGTCAGAAATTATTTGAGCTTTGGCAACTTCAGCACCAACTTCAGTCTCAGCATTTATTATGCAGCTACAATACTTCAATAGGTATGATATTTAAGACAGCAGTTTTAAAAAACAACTTTTTAGTGAAATATATTAACGAATTGAGTTTTCTGAACTATGATGGAAATGGAGTTTACTTTTGCTTGAAAATTCCATTCTAATGATATATATTTTGCTCCATTTAAATTTTACTATAACTTCATACAATTTGCTTCATATGAATTTTATATAAATTAGCTCTCATAAGTGCCCTCTACTTTATCAAACGTCTTACTTAGTGAATCAATAATGATCCTAGTGATCATGCCTAGTGGCTTACATTCAGCAGTCTCATAAATTATCGGGATAAAGTGACACAAATTGTAGACAATTGAATTATTTAATTTCTTTTTGTTTTCCTGTATTATAAAATGCAGTAATAATGAAAAATATTGTATGAAAATTGTACAAAATGCCGTCATTGTCGAATATTACTTGTTAATACAATAACTAAATATATTTATATATTTATTTATCATCAATATACAGTTATTAAAGGTATATGTGTGTGTGTGTATGTATATATATATATANTAGTATATAGTTCTTTTTTCACAGAGTGAATGTCCATATTATTGTAATGAAATAAATTCAATAAGTAAAGGATTAAATGGTTAATCAAAATTTTAAAATACGTTGCATTGTACAGTTAGAAAATTATAATAAATGTTACAGGTTATTACTGCCTATTTAAAGTGAATAGGGAAATAAAGTCGGATTCAAATTTTGTGTATTAAAGGTGTTAAGCAAGCTGATTCGCTTTCGAAATTAAGTTAAAAATTAGTTTATTAAAGGAGACAAATTAATTGCTTAGCATCCTCAACCGTTATCCTAATTAGTTTATTAATGTTAAGTTTACTATTTAGCATATTAAATTAAGATCTAAATTAGTTTATTAAATTTGTCAAATTAATTATTTAGCATCCTAAATTAACTTAGATGGTTTTTAAAGTAGTCTCATTGGTTTCTTAGGATTTTAACTTAAAATCTAAATTAGTAGTTTTTTAAAGGTGTTAAGTAATTTGTTTAGTATTTTAAATTAAGATCTAAATTAGTTTATTAAGAGTCTCAAATTAATTTCTTAGACTTCTAAATTAAGATAGAAATCGGTTTATTTAAAGTGTCAAATTAATTGTGTTAATTTGTATCAAAATTAATTGTTCAGCGATGCCAAATCAATTGTATAGCATTCTAAATTTAGATCTAAATTAGTTTATTAAAGGTGTTAGATTGTTTAACATTCTAAATTAAGATTTACATTTGTTTGTTAACAGTGTTAAATCATTATTGAGCATTCTAAACTACGACCTAAATTAGTTTAGAGGTGTCTAATTAAATGTTTCTCATTCTAAATTAAGACCTCAATTAGTCTACTAAAAGTGTCAATTTGGTAGTTTATTATTCTCAATAAAGTTTTTAGAATTTAAAAATTAAAATTTAAATAATTAAGTTACCGAATCTGATAAAAGAAACTCAAACTCAATGACAATGTTGTAAAGATAAGCATAAAATAATCAAAACTAGTTTCTGGCACTAATGAGTTAAAAATTCGGACAATTAATATCTTCTTACTGGTTAGAATAATTTGGTCGACTTGCTAATAAGTAATAAAAATTCATGGTTTATCATACTTATTTCTCTAATAATTTTTTTTTATTTTTAATTCTGGATTTTTTTTATTAAACAACTATGACAATTATTAATTTATTTTCAGTAAAGAGTCTAATGGCAAAGGTGGTGTTTATAGAATTAGAACTTCTTGTATATTCTTTGCATTATGAAAAAAAATTTTTAAATTAAATTGGTTAAAAAAATAAAAATTAAGAATTCGGTTATTATTACTAAGTTTGTTAAAGATATGAAGTTAATTGCTAAATAAGAAAATTTTTGTTTAGAATGTATGAAGAGAAATTAAATTTATTTATTTTTCTTACATCGTTTAAATTTCACTCCCCTTCTATTTTAATGAACTTATCTATCAATAAGTGTAGAATTCGCATATTTTATCTAGTATAATTCAAGTATGTACTTAGTTATAAAAAAAGGAAAATTACAAGAACTAAATCCATAAGAATCGTAAAAAATTAAAGAGATTTATGAGAACTGAAATAGTTTTTTTTATGAATATACTTAAAATTCTAACGAAGTTATAATTTTAAGTTTTAGTTGAAAGCATATTCACTTATAACAAGTGTTTTTAGTTGAATAAATTCAACTTTTATGGTTTGCATTTTTGTGACATTGTGCTAAAATAAAATAAAACAGCTATCGTAAGAGTAGTTTTTGTTTTTATATATTTTTGCACAGATTGTAAAAAAAAGAAAAAGAAAAAAAAGACTTTTAACTTTCTTTTTTTCTTCCTTTTATTTTACACGTGAGTCTCAAATCGGTATTATAGGGCTGAATTTCCAAAAATAGTAATAGAAGTTAACCAAATTTTTAAAATCAAATTCTTAAATTGATTTTTGTGACATTGTGATAAAGTAAAATAAAAACAGCTTTCGTTAGAGTAGTTTTTGTTTTAAAATTTTATTATTTTTGCATGGAATTTTAACAAAACAAAAAATATCGTTTCACTTTTCTCTTTTTTTAAACATCTGAGTCTCAAATCGGTACTATTGGGCTGAATATCCGAGAAATAGTAATAGAAGTTAAGCAAATTACTAAAATCAAACTCTTAAGTTATTTTAGAATGGGTTTTCAAAGCAAAAATTGCCCTCCATATTATTTCTTTAGCACTTTATTGTTTTTAACAGTACGAAATCGGGTAAACATAAACCAAAACATGAAATAATCTAAACTGTTATTCATTAGTCTGAAGCCAAATAAAATTGAATAGCTGACTTTCATGTTATTGACTCACTTTAGTGACAAGGTATGGAGCCTTGATTGGAATACAAACACTGTAACAGCTGGTGTTATGGCAACTTCCAAAGGATTCTCAAACGTTGGGATGTTGGTATCATGAGTGCGAGCAATTAGGGTATCAATTCAAAAACAGATTGCAGCGTTAGCAATGGCATCTGCAGTGATATCCTAATTGATTCGCAAGCTAGGCCTGAAAACACAAATCAAAAATTTGTCCGAATTTCAAAATGGCCCCAAATATATCTGTCGAACCATCTGCTGGAATTTCCAAGAGTCTCGTTAGTAGAGAACTTTGAAAAACAGCAATCCAATGGCGATGTTGATCACAAGAATGAGTATCACCAATTGTTGACCTGACAGCCAGTCCTGAAACAAAGCAATTCGTTAAGATTCAATGTAATCTAGGTTTATTTTTATTATGAATAGAACGAAAACGCCATGAAAAAAGCCGATAAGAGTGACATTATCCCACTTAGTGGCTAAAACTGACAAGGGCCATATTTATAAGTAGCAAATCAAATTCAAAGAAAAAAAATCTTTCCAATAACTGTACATTCTAATTCTGCAGGAAAAAGAACGATACTACGATATTTTCTCTTTCCTTAATCTTTTTCGTAGTTAATTATCAGAAAAAAACGTTTTTTTTTTTTTTAAGTTTCCACGACGCTTTCTTTTAGAACTATGTTCAAAGTAGTTTTCAGTTCCATATGGTTTCTCAACTTAAAAAGTTTTAATCTATTTAAAAATCAAGACAGAAACTACCGTTCGTCTTTCTTGTTTGACTGTTAACACGCTAATGGTGAAAGTAGGCGAAGTGTTGCCATATGTAGAGAGTTCTGCTCCACGCCACATATAGCCCATTTCGATCGCCAATAAATTGAAAAGATTCTCTATTTCTAATATTTCCAAAAATTCTTTCAAAAAGCATTTGAAAAGCTTTTTATTCTAAACACCGTGCGAAAATCGACTGTTTTATGATACTCCCAGTTAACTTGCCTTCCGAAAGACTCACCGGGGGAATGCTGGTGGAAGAAAAATAACTCTTTTTGAAGAGGTTAATTACCGGAGAGCTGCTAAACAATGGGTGCCAACTTCTTTATCTTCTTACTTTTCGAGAAGAGGAGCCAACTTTTGAATCAGCTTAATCGACCTTGGCTTAGTGACTGGTTTTCTCCAGCCAACCAGTAGAACATTATTATTCTTGGACAAATTATTAATATAATAAAACTTTTCTAAGAGGCTAATTTGCTTTACCTTTAGCCGTTATTGTTTCATGTCATTTCAAATGGATATCTATTCTGCTATGTAATTGAAAAATTAACGTAAGCGACAAAAAATTCGAAATTGAGATTTTAATATATTTGGCATCTTTATATGGCAGGCTTCATATTGTAAAAACAATTTTTCAAAAATAAGGTTGGTTTATCAGTTTTTTTGAAATTCTACTTGAGCGTTAGCAATCGAAGGAGAGTCGAGCTAATACTTTTCTCGTAATCAATCCTGAAGCACTTACGTTTTTATTTTCAATTGCACGGCAGTATTCAAGAGGCTTTGCTCGCCTACTCCGTTAATGCTTATTTTATTGTTCATTGTTGTTTTTACCCCCTTATTAGTTTATATTTTCCCTCAAAACAAAAACAAAAAAATATTTTAATAATGAAATATAAAATTATTATAGTTTTATTTATTATAGTATTCATATTTTTAAGTTTTATAATTTTTGCTCTGCAAAACTGTAACACAAAGAAAAAAATGAATGCAAAAAGCAGTGAGAAGACGGAAAAAAACAAAAACTGATAAAATCATTTCATTATAATTTGTTTTGGGAAGATTAAAATATTTTTAAATACCAAGACCTAAATAAATATAATGCATAGTATTGATTTCTACCCCAGAAAAAGTAATTAAAGCAACAAATAATTTTAATTTAGAATTGTAAAAGCTATTTCTCAGGGAAGTCAGGCTTTAAATGAAATGATTTTACTATCAATTTTTTTAAATCTTTTTCCGTCGTAGTTTCAGCCCTGAGTTGTATTGCAGCCTATTTGCAACTATGCTTGTTATCATGTTGCTTTTAGATTGATTACAAAACATCTTTGCTTTGGTTCTTCTTTTCACTGTTAACAGTTACAGTTGAAATCGGGAGATACGTCTGGCCAGAGTCCAGAACTGGAATATTTTGAATCGTAGTCATTATTTTGTTGAGTCAACTGTGTTAATAGATACTTAGTTCTTCTATAATGTTAATAGCTACTTTGGAAATAGAGAATGGTGACCCGAACCTCCAAAAGAAAGCCTGAACTCATCTCTAAAACTCTTATGTCCTATCACATTTTCTTCCTTTGCTACCTCTCTTCCCGGGCGTTGATCATGGGATTGCTTATGTTCTACACAATTTCTTCTTTTTTTATGTTGCTACACAAATTATGTTGTATCCTGTTTTTCCTAAAAAAATTTGCCGCGACATTTTTATAGACACCCTGTAAGAGTGCTTTACTCACTTAGCTGTTTATTAATGGGCGTAAAGTACCAAGTTGGTTAGTTTAGTCTACAGATATTCACGGCTTAGGGTATTAGGCTAGGTCACTTAAGCTTGGAAATTACTGTAAGTTATTCCTAATTCAATGTAGTTTTAGTCACATTCGAGTGACATTCAGAACACCAAACAGTAAAATATTTAAACACATAAAATTATGTCACAATTTGCATTGTGATGTCACCTCTGAGTAGACATCGAAAGTCACAACTTTTAAATATTTATATGTTAATAATTAGTAACCACATTTTAGAAATTATATATAAAAAAGTATTGTACTATGTAGTTTAAATAATTTAGTGTTTTCATAAGATTAAATAGCATATTAATGTAGGACTCGTAGTGTAAAAGGTTAATATAGCACTTTTTATCCAATAATGATTCTTTGTTTAACATTTTAAAGGGGAAATAAAATAAAATGTAGTAAAATAATGAAGAAAACAGTTTGTGAAACCTTTAAATATTTAACTTTCATTTTATGACTAAGCAAAGTTTTAACCTTGTCTGTGGTCAAAATGTAAGAAAGGTACCTCAGATTTATTTAATATCTGAACAAATAGTGATACTGAAGTGTGATTGCTTCTCACACGTACACAAACAAGCAGAGCTCAAACAGAATCGCTAACTGCATGTTTTCTCTTAGTTATTCCCTTAGGATCGAGACAACTTAGATCATCTCATTTCTATTTCTTTACACTATATCACTCGAATTCTTCATTACAATGACTTCATCATCTACGAATCCTAGGCCAGAACAATCCTACCTTTCTAGTTTTCGCAGTAATTAAATTTCTTAATTGCTGACTAAACATTTCGAAAAGTTTCGATTGCTAAAAATAAAAAAGCTTAGATTATTAAAAATAATAAAGCTTTTTTATTTATTAAAAATAATAAATAAAAAAGTTTCTTCGTCAATTCTCTACCACTGGAAAAATTATTTTATTTTATAACCGTCGTTGAACAGCAGACCCGATTTTGGGTTTGCGACTACTAATGTTCAACTCCGTAGCCTTGTAGTTTTGAACACAATCCAGAAAACAAGGAAACTCCTGGATTAAGTATTAGGAGAAATTCGCCTTCGCGGACGACTTTTTAAGGGAACTAGCCCGCATTTGCGTTACACTGAGAGGTAAACCACAAAAACCTCCCACAATTTGCCTGACGGCAAGGGAACTCTAACCCATGATACGTCTACTACTGAGAATATTTTACATCAGCACTGTGATTGGTGTGAGCCAGGTGCTGAATTCGTATCGAATAGCCATCGCTGGGATTCGAACCCAGTTCACCTCATTGGAAGACGAACGCTCTATCCCCTAAGCCATCACGGCTCTCATGTTTATTATTATTATATCGCAAATTTATGCTACGTAAACCTCTCCCTCCCTCTTCAATCATTTTATAAAATTCAATTTAGATGAAAGAGCAGATAGCTTTATCCTTTGAGCCACCACGGCTCTAGAAAAAATTACTTCCCGAATTGTGTATAAGTTTGTAAATTTAAATTAAAAAAATAGAACAAGACAAAACACGCAAAACAACTTACACAAAATTCTGGGCTGAGTAGGTACAGCAATGGATTCGCTCTGAGTCTCTGAGCTTCCTCCTCTTGCCTGCGGATGGCTTCTCGTCTCTGAGAACTCAAAATAGCAATCGTTTNTCGTATCGAATAGCCATCGCTGGGAATCGAAAACAGTTCACCTCATTGGAAGACGAACGCTCTATCCCCTGAGCCATCACGGCTCTCGTGTTTATTATTATTATATCGCAAATTTATGCTACGTAAACCTCTCCCTCCCTCTTCAATCATTTTATAAAATTCAATTTAGATGAAAGAGCAGATAGCTTTATCCTTTGAGCCACCACGGCTCTAGAAAAAATTACTTCCCGAATTGTGTATAAGTTTGTAAATTTAAATTAAAAAAATAGAACAAGACAAAACACGCAAAACAACTTACACAAAATTCTGGGCTGAGTAGGTACAGCAATGGATTCGCTCTGAGTCTCTGAGCTTCCTCCTCTTGCCTTCGGATGGCTTCGCGTCTCTGAGAACTCAAAATAGCAATCGTTTCTCGCGTTAAAATTTTCGGCTCTGCGATGTTACTGATATCAGGCAAGCTCTTTTTTCTCGAACTCGCGATGGAACCACTTTTAGCAGAAGATTCCATCTTTCGAGTCGCACTGTACAGGGAACCAGTCCGTACCATTCCCTCACCCAAAGACATATCGGGTTCCACGGGCAGCGAGTTCTGGTCCAGTACAGTTGGCATTGTAGACCTGCGCTGGGGAATGAACGTGACCTCTTCCTCGTCTTCCATCTGTTTGGGATGGCTCAGAGGTATGCCGTATAGCTTGGAAAGTTCGGTCAAATCGATGGCAGGTTTTTTGGACTTGTTCGGGGAGGTTGGCCTCGATGTCGGTTTGGTCTCGTAGTAATGGTGGAAATGTTCGTCAACTACTTGTTGCAAACTCAGCTGCGGACGGTGAGGATTATTTGGAATAGCCTGCTGGTTGAATTGAGAAGGAACGAGGCTATGCTCGACGAACACAGATGGTCGCCTTAAGTTGACTGTGGAGGGTCGTCGGAGTAATCCGGCTGCTGATGGTCGTCGATCTGGATTGTTCTTGAAGAGATCGAGGAAGGCAGAGGCAGACGGCTGTGGTGGGTTCGGAGCAGGACTCAGATGGTAGTCATCGAGTTCTTGTGGCAGATACTGGTTGTCTTTAAGTGTTGGATAGTATTCGGTGGATGGATGGGAAGATCGAGGGGAAAAATCTTCAGAGTGATGGAATTGTCCGAAGTCTGAAGAATCCTGACTAGATGCAAATTTTCTTCTGACAAGAGTTGAACCTGCAAGAGAATAGAAATGTATAATTAAATATCGCATTTAATAAAGTTGATTCCTGATTATCCGAGAATGGATTAGCTGATTTCTAATAGATATAAGTCGTTCTTTATTATGAAAACACCAATCTGCATATTTATGTGCAATAAATAATATTTTGAGATCTCTAACCGTAATAAATGGTATCATTACTACGAAAAATATTACTGTACGAATATTGTACCACTATACTGCCACTTTTATAAATTTTTGATATCTATTCAAAGCAATACGATGTAATAAATCCTGTTCAATGTCCTGTTATTTTCCCGTAATGGCCCTATATAAAATTGTTCGATTCACCCGATATATTACAGCCACTATACATCAAATATCGGCCCTATATGGAGTTGTTAGATTCACTCGATATTTTATAGTCATTATTTAGCTAATATAGACCCTCTATTAGCCTTATGTAGGTTGATATAGGACCAATGTTGGTCCTTTGGTGCATGTTCATGTAGGACCCATATGAAGTCAATATTGAGCCCACCTGGGGCCAAGGTAAAATTGTGAGTAGGGAAGAAACATCTAATTTCTAATCAAATATTTATTGTGACGTATATGATAATATTAGTCCTATGTAAAACTGTGAGCATAATGAATAAAATTTCCTTTTCCTGAAATTCAACAAAATTTACGAAGGTTGTTACATTTTAGAAGCTGAAATAAGTTGAGATGAATATTTAAGATTTCTTGCAAAATTTTTGTGCCTCACGGCAAAAAATATAATATGAAATATAGTAGACTCTTTTTGATTCAACCTTAAAAGGGAAGGGAAAAAAGTTTGATTTAACTGAATTTCGGATTATTTGAAATTCAAAAATAATCAACAATTAAAAAAACAAAGCAATAAAAATTTTATCGTAAAATCAGATTAAATTCATTATATGTTATTTACCATATCATTTATTTTCATTAGGCTAAATATAAATGAATAAAATCCCGTGCATTTCTTTCATTAATAAACAAAGAAGATCCAGATGATGCATCTTATCAGCAAAATATTAATAAAAAATATAACATAGCAGAATACACCTGTATTTCATTTCCAATTAATTTTTAACGATATTAGCCAACAATATCTATTTATCATCCTTTCTTAATATTATTTTCCGTTATTTGTATTTTTTTTGTTATTCAAAATTAAAAACTTAAAACTGAAAATGTTTATTTTTCTAAAGTGATATTGTGATATTTCTTAATTTTTTTTCTTCAGAAAGTCAAAAATGTAATTCTAGCAGAAAACAGCAAAAATTTTAAGATATGTGTGTTAGCAGGATAGCACTTCATCTGGGGACACACTGCCTGCTAACACACAGGAGCCTCTCTGTTGTCAGTGGTGAAACAAAAAAAATGACTGAGCCCCGAGGCCCCATAATGGAAAAACAAATAAGAAAAAGAAATTAGAAAAATTGAAATGTAAATGCAAAGAAAAATTAATGACAAACAATCACATTTTTGAAAGTTATCTTGTTAATGGTATTTGTTTTTGCAAACAAATTTAAGGTTGGAATGGAGAATTGTTATTCAAGTGCATTTACTAATATTTTATTACATTTTTATGAAAAAAAATTTTGCAAGATAATTTATTAATTGAGTTTAGATTTATTGATGATTTAATTATTTCTGATTGTAATGATTTTGATTTCATTAAAGATATTTATCCTAAAGAACTAAATTTAATAAAGACTAAATCAGATGAAAATTGCGCTTATTTTTTAGATTTTGATATCAAACTTCATAACTAAAAATTTTTCATCGGATTATACGATAAAAGAAGAGATTTTAAGTTTGGTGTCATTAGTTTAACACATTTTAATTCCAACCTTTACTTTTTAAGTAAGATTTTTAAGAATATTTTGATTGGCCAAATTATTAAATTCAAATTTATTTGTAATAATAAAACAGATTTTCTTTCAGGTATCGGGAATTTAAAGATTACATTAGAGAATAAAATTTTTCCTTTTATTTACTGTAATTATGATATTTTGATTCAAAATATTTTAATCGTTCAAATAATTCGGCTGATATTGAAGCCCGCATAAATAGGTCTATGTGGTGAAATTTAGGATTTTATTTTCCTGATAGATGGCAGCACTTTTTTAAATTTTAACTCATTGAATGTTTTTTTGTTTTATTTCTCAAGGTTTTCAAAAAGGGGTCAGCACTTGATTTATCTCTAAAGCTACAGATATATAAAATGTCATAAAAACGACCTTTGTGTTAATAAAAGGTGAAAAAGTTCTAATTTTTGAAATAATTCAATACCTCTGGAAAAATATTTCGTATGAGCATCAAATGTTGGAGGAAAACATGTTGGAAATTATGTAAGATTCATGGCAAAGATATTTCGTTACCATTTTACAATAACTCAACGGTAAATTGTTAAATAAGGACATAATTATTTTTTAAGTTATATTAAGTTTTATAGTAAATTTTATTTAAAACCGTGTTCAGTCAATGTGTGTAATTTAAGTAATAATTATTATTATACGAAATAGCTTAACATTAAGATTGAGTCTCAAGATGTGACAATCCGATCATCAAATCAAAAGTTATTCAGGGCGTTTTTTTTTTCTTTATTTCATGCACTGTATTCATAAAGATAACAAGGTACCTGTCGCTAAGACGGCATCAACCAACTGAAAAATATTTCTAGGAATCTAGTTTATTTTATTGTTCCTACGATATAAACAAATAGACAAAACGAAATCTTAATATGTAGAACAATTATCCAAATAGTGCCAAGGTTTAGAGTTATAATATAGATTTTTTTATTTATCTTTTAGATGCAATTAATTAATCGTAACTACCACTATGATTTTCATTGCAAATTATTTATATTTAAAGAAAAAAAAAATTTCGATAATTAGTTTCACTCCAATTTACCTTCAAATTACCAGAAAAAGCCACCTTAAAGACAACATTTCAAGACGGATGGGAAAAGGGCCGCTAACGGCCCTCAGGTACCCAGTTAAATTTTGATGATGATTTTGATTATTAGTAAAACTTTCATCTGCAAACAAAAATCTATAATTTTGAGCTATTTACTTCTTTATTTTCACCAATATTACATTCTCGAGCAAAGCGCATGAACCTCGTTATCATCTACAGCCAACAAACTGAAGTTTTTGAGCAAGCTGCTTCTTATTATTTCCAATTGGTGTAATATTGTACAATAATTTCCAGTAGTAATTGGTGTAATATTACAATAATTTCCAGTAGTAATTAGTGTAATATTACAATAATTTCCAATCCTCGAGCAAAGTGCTTGAACTACTTATCCAGTAACCACACGGACAGCTGACATAACAGTGTTAAAACAAGCTTCAAAACAAATTTATGACGAATGGGATTGCTTCGCGGCCCAGGTGCCCAGTTCTAGAGCACTTCTATGACTACTTTTACATTAATAAACTGAAAAAATTGAAAAAGCTAGTACTAATTTTAATATCTTTTAATAGATTTTTACTATTTATCACTTTATACATTTTTACCGTGACATTCCTGTAATTGCAATAATTCAAAGTATCATATTTCAGATGATGCTTTGAATTTTCCATATGTAGTGTTCGAAAAATTACTTGAACTGAAAAATACTAAATAAAAAAAAACTTTAATTTCGATATCTCTAAAATTTTTATTTTTACATATTAGAGCATGGCATCTCTGGTTATTTCGTGGTAAAGTTTTTAAGGGGTTAGCAAAATTGAACAATATTATGCATGGTTCAATTTTCATTCCTCACCACTCTATAAAAGCGGTATAATTGGCATCCCTGTACTTAATGTAGTTGCAAAATTCATATATTTACACACTTTATTTTTATTTAAATAAATGGGATTTTAAATAATTTTGACTAAAATTACATTTAAATGTTTGAAACATATGTATGTAGTAGGCCTGTTGGCTGTTTGAAGGAATGTTTGAATGTTGATTAAATTTTAATGAAACACCAGCATACAATATTAATTGAACTGGCATATCACTACCTCCATACGAAAGGTTTTTTGAAAAGCGTATACGTGGGCAGGTATGGTTTAAGGTATGCGTATGACTGTATTACAATATTAACTTTACTACTACTTAAGAAAATTATCCTTGAAAAGATTAAAAATTGGCAGGTATGCATTTATAATGCGGTCAAGCAAATATACATTCTGAAAATCTTAACTGCGATCTCTAGTACGCAAAATTAACAGTTGAACTAATTATAATATAATATATATAAATATATATACATTCCCTTTTAAAGTCCTATGCCATACCTAGATTTTGCTATCACCTTATTATTCATTATCCAGATAGTCACTCCAATGAATTATTGTGACATGCATGGTAACTGGTCTTGTAAAATACATATCCGGCATACATTTAGTTATTATGACACGTCTCAGTATTGTTCGCATGGTTAACTGGTTAGTGCCCATCGCCATATTTATCGATCAGTTATTTTTTTTTTTAAAGAAGAGTAAACCCTTAGTGATTAAATAATTGATTATTAATATTATCACCGTAAAAATTTTTTCAAAAAAATAAATAAATAATAAAAAAAATTTCAGCTACTAAGATATATTACGGATCATATAGCTACCAACCATAAACTAATTTTAAAGATAAAATTTTTAAAATTATTTTTTTTATTTTCAAGAATTTTTTTAAAAAAAAGTATAATCATTATTAAACATTCTATGACTTTTTACACGAAAAAATTTTTTTACACCTTTGCACTTTAAAAATTTAGGGTAAAGTTAATCGTGCAATTCTTAATCTGCTATTTATCCTTATGTTAATTAAAAACGAAAAAAAAAAGAATGACGCCATTATGTTTATTTTAAATTTCAATTTTGAAGCAGAAATTTACAAAAGATTAAATTAAAAGGCAAACCGAGAGAAACGTTTTTAGATATACTTATTAAGAACTCAAGAATTTCGAAAAAATTGTCTCTTACTTAAGGAATTT